AGGAGGCCCCCCCAAAACGAGCGAAACCAGGGGGAGCGGAGGAGGAGGAGGAGGAGGAGGAGGAGGAGGAGGAGGAGGAGGAGGAGGAGGAGGAGGAGGAGTTGCAGGAGGAGAAGAAGAGGGAGGAAATGGAGGAGGAGGGAGGAGGAGGGGAGGAGGAGAAGAGGAGGAGGAGGAAGGAGGAGGAGGGGGAGGAGAAGGAGGAGGAGAGGAGGAGGAGAAGAGAGAGAGGAGGAGGAGGAGGAGGAGGAGGAGGAGGAGGAGAGGAGGAGGAGGAGAGGAGGAGAGGAGGGAGGAGGAGAGGAGGAGGGAGGAAGAGGAGGAGGAGGAGGAGGAGGAGGAGGAGGAGGAGGAGGAGGAGGAGGAGGAGGAGGAGGAGGAGGAGGAGGAGGAGGAGGAGGAGGAGGAGGAGGGGAGGAGGAGGAGGAGGAGGAGGAGGAGGAGGAGGAGGAGGAGGAGGAGGAGGAGGAGGAGGAGGGGGGGAGGAGAGGAGCGCCCTCCAGGAGGCAAGCTCGCGGACGCAGGCTGCAGGCAGCGTGCCGACTCTTGGCCGCTGTCCGGGCGCCCTTGGAGCCTCCTTGGGCCCCTCTTGGGCGGTCTCTGGGGCCAGCTTTGAGCACGAGGCTCTCGGAAGCCCATTGGAAGCGAGAGGGCAAAGAGGGCAAAATCGTGGGCTCGATTTTAGATCCGGAGAGGGCTTCGGCGGGGGGCGCGCGACGACTGGCCGCGCGCCCCACGCCCCGCGGTCTGGCTCTGCAGAGCGGCCGCGCGAGAGCGGGGCGGCGGGCGCGGTGGACGCAGCGCGAGGCGCCAAGCGGGGCTCCCCCGTGCAGCGGCAGGGCCTTCTCCTCCGCCTCCTCCTCCCCTCGGGGCCGCCAGGAGGGGGCGATGACTACACAAAAGGGGGGGGAGCAGATCGTGGCCAGGGCCACGACGCCTCGCCCCAGGCGCCGTGGCCCCCCCCCCCTTTTTGCCCCCGGCCCTGGTCTCCCCCTCGCCCGCGCGCCTGCCTCGGGCCGAGATCTGCGCCCCCCCCCCCCGCTGGACGCCCCTCCTTCGGAGGGGGCTATAGGCCTGGCATCGCTCGGACGTGTGCATTTTTCCTTCGGCGAGGACCATCGAGGAGCATCCTTGATCATTTGGCGAAAAAACCACGCACGAAACCGAAAAAAACACAGGGACTGGATGTCCGAGCGATGGCGAGTAGGACGAGGAGGAATCCGTCCCGGAGCGTGCCGGAACGCTCTTCGAGCGTTCCGGAGCGCTGCGAGAAGGCTGCGGCGCCCGAGGCACCTTCCAGAGCCGCCGGGTCCCAGAGATTCTCGATTCGTCCTCACCCGATGTTATCCTCGTCCTCGCTTCGCCTGACCTCTCTTGGACGCCCCCGATTCCTGACCTCGTCCTCTCCCCCTCGTTGCCCTCCCGTCGGCAAGGGCGTATGCGGGCAGTGCCGCGAGGGCCGCGCGGGTGGTGGCTCCCCGCGGCGCTCTGCCAGAGCATTGGGGGGCGTCTATGTTTGCTCCCGCCCCGGCACACCAATCTGCCCCAACACCTGGGGTGTTGGGGTAGGTGGATGCTGGGGTGGGTGGCAGGGCATGCAGTCGGCACGAGGGCGAAGACCATCCCGAGTCTTGGAGTGGTACTGCTCTGCTCTTCGTGCCTTGGCTCTCCACCCTGCAGTGCTCTTCACTCTGGACGCCTCCGTGGGTCCTTGGGCCTTCGACGAAGTGGCTCGTGTTCGTGACGCACGCTCTTGTGGCCATGTTCCGGCCGCAGCAGGAGGAGGGAGGACGGAGGGGAGCGGGATGAGGAGGACGAAGGAGCATGTGGAGACACGCGTAGGGGCGCTAGCTAGTGTCAATCAATCTGCAGATGCACATACGCGCGGCCCCTGTTCAAAAACGAATGGTGAGGTTTATTTTGACGCGATCCGCACTGGGCCTCACGCTTTCACGCAAAGGAAATGCAAAGAGGGCGACGCTGGAAAATTCATTCGTGTCTCATTGTCCTGCAAGGCATCAATGGGTGGATTTGGTGGGTCTTACACTTTCAAACTGAATGTCAAAATTGGGACGTGGGAAGCTCCTAGCATGAAGGAAAGCTATGATCCTGAGATGGGTGAAACATATCATGTGTGCAAGAAGAAAGAACACAATGTTCATGATCTTGTCACATAGACATCTGCCTGCGGCAAATCCCGCCACCATGCCAGCCTAGCATTCTGTGTGACGAATGTCTGAGGAGGCACGGCAGGCCGTCACGTGTGACATTTCGTGTATGATGGCGATGATGGTAATGGTGGTGATGGTGGTGGTGGTGTTCATGGTGATGATCAAGATGATGCTGATGATGATGATGTTGTGGATGATGATGACGATCATAATGGTACATGTCCCTCTGATGGTGCTGACGGTAACGACGACTGACCGTTGATGGTGGTAATTGTGACGTCTTCGGCGACGACGACGATGATGCTGTTGCTGATGATGATGATGTTGATGATGATGCTGATGGTGGTTATGTTGCAGCTGATAATGATGCTGCCGATCATGAGGATTATGCTGGTGCCGATGGTGGTGGTAATGATGCTGATGATGATGATGATGTTGATGATGATGTTGATGATGCTTGTGATGATGTTGACGATAATGATGATGACGACGATGCCGATGACACGCAGGATGCTGATGATGATGCTGATGATGAGGATGATGATGACGCTGACGACGACGACGTCGACGACGGTGCTGACGCTGATGCTGATGGTGATGTTCATGCTGATGGTGATGTTGCTAAGACGATGACGGGTAGCAGAAGGAGGAGGAGGAGGAGGAGCAGGAGGAGGAGGAAGAGGAGGATAATGAGATAAGTAAGGCCGTCACGCGTGGCACTTCACTATTCAAAGAGCTCTCAGGAATCTCGTTTGGGCCGTCTCGTGGCTGCCTTGGCATCCTGTGAGGCAGCCTTGGGGGTCCCTTAGGGCCGTCTTGGGACCCTCTTAGGCAGTCTTGTGGCTCTCTTGGGCCGTCTTGAGGCCCTGTTGCCAGTATGTTGGCTACCTGCAGGCTGTCTTGGGGCCGTCCTGGATGCATCTTGGGCCCTCGTGGGGTCCTCTTGGGCTACTGTTCCGACCCTGTCGGGGTCTCGTGGGCAGTCCTAGGGCAATCGTGGAGGCTTTCTGGGCCGTCTTGAGCTGACGGAAGCCCGAAAAGGCGAGCATGCAAACATCATTCAAGATCCAACGGAAATCAATGATTTGGGTGTCTTCGGGCCCTGTAGGAGGTTATCGAGGGGTTTTTTGGGGGCTCTCTTGGAGGCGTCTTGGATCGTCTGCAAGTCATATTGGGTCGTCTTGGTTATTGCCTGCTTGGGCCGTTTTGGAAGTTCGAGACGCGGACACACAGTTCTTTTGCGGGGGATCGGGGCCTCGGGTGGAACGGGATGCATGTGGTCGTGGCGAGGCGACCTTGAAGGTGCTGCCGACCTTGAAGGCGGAACCTCCCCCCGGACCTCCGTTCAGTATTCTGACCCGCCCCCCCCCCCGGTCGGCGGATTAGAATACAACCCTACAGAGCAACACCTGGCACTTCTAACATGCCCACATCGTTCAGGCACGGTGGCGGACACAGGGACAAGCGATTCCACTGCATACAAGTGGGAGAACTTGCAGAATTCCCCTGGCTCAACCACTACAGAGACGGTTGTAGACTTCGTTCCTAAAGCCATGGATGATCCATTCCGGCCAAATGCGATCGGTCTTCCATTCACCCTCACCATTGCTTCGAGGTACGCGGTCGAGTTTACCTCCGGTGTTGACCATAATTACGAGGTGTATTTGGCCCGCGTCGGCTATGCCACTGGCGAGATCGCGAAGGTCCCCCTGTCGACGTTTGCTTCGGACGTCTGGGCGCGCCTGCTGGAGGCGGGGGCCGAAGACTCGTACTAGTGAGTGGCGCCTCCATGCATGAGGCGCCAGCCCATGCCAGCGACTACGCCTGCAGTTGAGACGGCCGCCTAACCGCTTGCCGCAGACATGCTGTCAACATGTACCGAAACGGGCGTGATGCGGACGGGCCCACTGAGACCTTTTGTGAAGCTTCTTGTGGGGCCACGGCGCTTGCACAGGCAAAGAGGAGGGGGATTTGGAATCAGAGCACTTGCGAAGCAATATCAACATCCAACACTACGCCGCTTCCCTATCATAACTCCCCGAGCGCCGAGACGACCCAAAAGTCAATGACGAAGAAACATAAGAACAAGAGGAATGAGATGCTGCCTCCGAAGCCCGACCACCACGATACGGAACAGAACCTTCTCCCAATCGCAGGAGGAAGGAGGAGGAGGGAGAAGGCGGAGGGCGGAGGAGGGGGAGGAAAAAGGAGGATGCAAAACAGGGTCCACACAGCACGGGAGGGTTGGGAACAACTCCTCCTCACTCCCATGTTGGTGTGCGCCCCCCCCGTGCGCCCCCCCCTGTTCCATGGCGCTTCTGCCATGCCGCATGCTGCCCCACGGTTTCCACGATGTCCTTGTCCCAGGCCTTCCCGGCTCCTCCGTGCGTCTCACACGATGGAGCTGTCCCGCTGCCGCTGCGCCCCCCCCCCGCGAGGCTTGGCTGGGGACCCGCGCGGACGGCCACACGGGGGAGTGGCCGTGCCTCGCGCTGGAGATCTACGACGAGCCTCCCGCCCCGGCCAAGAGCGGGGGGCTCGGCGGCGGCCGGCTGCGCTCCAGAGTGGCCCCTCGCCGGAGAGGCCTCTCCGGACGCCAGGCGTGGTGCGGAAAAGGGTACGATGCCCAGCAGCACATGCTGGCCAGAACCAGCAGCAGCCGCAGCTGGGCAGGTCGGCGCTCCAGGGACGGGGGTCAATGCAGACGGGGGTCAGGCAGAGCGCCGGATCTTGCAGGATCCTGCAGGGCCAGGGCTGCACTGACCCCGGCTAGCGTGCAGGATCCTGCAGGATCTTGCAGGATCCTGCATGGGCCTGACTGACCCGGACATGGACAGCGTCCGCGGCGACACAGACAGCGAGTCTTGTTCAAACTGAGCTTCGTGGCTGTCGGTCTTTGCACCCTGCTTCTTAGACGGCGCGGGCCTTCTCCGTAGAGATAAGGCCGGCACCTTCTGAAAAGCAGTCTCCTTCTGAGAAGCCGTCCGCCCTCCTCCCCCCTCCTGCGCGCCGCAAACTTGTAACGGCTGCGATCGCGAAACATACGAAAACTGCCCAGCACGGCCGCCGCCACCGTCGTCGCCGTCCTCCTCCTGTCCTTCTCCTCCTCCTCCTTCTCGTCCTCCTCCTCCTGGTCCTCGTTCTTGTCCTTCTCTTCATCTTCGCCTACTTGTTCCCTCGAGCATGCCACCCAGGACCCCAAACCTCCACAGCACGAAACCTCCAACAGCCGTGAACAAGGCATGCTTTCCGTGCCCAGGTCGATCGTACCGAAGCTCAGGTGCGAGCCCACGGGCGTCTCCCACGGCGCCGGCGTGCGCGCGCTGGACTCCGGCCTCCCCGCGGCGTCCCGGCTCCTGGTACACAAGAGGTCGTGCCCTGCCGGGGGTTACTCCCGTACGCGCCGCCGAGCCACGTGGCATCGTCTTTGACGAACCAGCAACACACACCCATACCCAGAAGGGGGTGGGAGAGGGCTATGGGTGCGTGTTGTCGGATGGGGGGCCCCTCTCGAACGGGAGCGTTCCCCAGGGTACGACAACCCGCACCCATACCCATAGCCAGTCCTCCTCCCCACGAACCCCCCTATGGGTATGGGTGTGTGTTGTTCGTTCGTCAGTCTTGGGACGTCTGCGGGCGGCTTTCTTTGAGAGAAGAAAATACGGCATAAACGCAAAAAAATCTTGGCGCTCCGCGCGGATTTCTTGAATCTGCGCTGGAACCCCCTCTCTGGCGCGCGGAGCGCGCCAGGGGCGGCGCCAGAGGTGCCGCTGGAAGGGCCCAGCGCAGATCCAAGGAATCCGCGCGGAGCGGCAAAAGTTTATGTGTATGGCGTTGTTTCATCTTCGCTTCTCGCTTCGGCGGCGCGCCCGGAGGGGAAGTGAGAGGAAGAAGGCCTTCTCAGAAGACGGGGGGGCTTCTCAGAAGCCCTCCGCTTTCTGCAGGAAGTTGTCTGTGTCTTCGGGGCAGGCTTAGAAAACTGTCAGAACCAGAGACTCCCGAGCCTTCTGAGAAGGCCCGCCCCCTCTCACTTCCTCTCCAGGCTGGCCGACGACATGAGGCATCATCTTCGGACGTCTTCGGACAGCCTTCTCGCTGGCTCCAGACACCCCACCCCAGACTCCTCTTATCTAGGCCTCCCAGCCTCCCAGATGGGGTCGAAGTAGATGGGGTTTGGGGATCGCGCCGCATCGTCGATGCATCGGCGATGCGGCTCGATGTGGAGCCCGATGTTCACCACGCTGACGGCACCGACGCATCGCCGACGCCGCTGGTGCATCGCCAATGCATCGGCGAGGCGGCGCCCACCTAGGAGGCCTCTAGCCGTGCGGCACCATCTTCGGACGTCTGCGGACGGCGTAGGGCTTTCCCGCTGGCATCAGGCCCTTTTTCCCCAAGAGTCTTCTGTACTGGACCAGGAGCAGTCTGACATGCATGTCTCCGGCATCCTGGACGCCCGGCTCAAGCGGCTGAAAGGACGATGTCCCTACCGTACCACGCCGGGGGTCAGTATGGCATGCACGTTTCCGGCATCTTAGGCGCCTGGCTCGAGCGGCTGGAGAGACGATGTCCCCACCGGACCACGCAGGGGGTGAAGATTGCCCAGTCGCCCTGGGGACGGGCGCCCACGATGACTCGGAGGTTGATAGACCTCCTATCCTGACACGTCGATTAGCGAATTGGCCGTGCTCGGTTCGCGAGAGGGCGTCGCGGCCGTCAGTTTTGCGGGTCCAGCTCCGTCGGTTTCGGTCCCGGGCCGCTTTCACTGACGGGCGGCTTGCTGAAGGGAGGCTCGCGCCCACCGCCGAATGGCGGAGGCGCTTCCCTTGCACCGCTCTTCGCCCGCTGCGCCTCGGCCCCGCGGCACCCGCGCTTCTCGCGCGCCCACAGAGAGAGAGAGAGAGAGAGAGAGCGGCGGTGGGCCCCCCGCGCCGAGGGAGGAGCCGCCGCCGGGCTGCGGCGGTGGCCGGGGGGTCTCCGCGCGAGGAGGGCCCCGGGCCCACACGGCGGGTCGGTTCTCGCCACCGCGGCGCTCTCCGCTGGCTCACCGGGGCTTTCTTCCCTCAGGAGGCTCGCAAGAGGCCTCCCTGACCACCTGGACAGACTTTCTTTTCTGGGGAGGCTTTCTTTGCTCAGGAGGCTCAAAGGAGGCCTGCCATCGGAACAGACTTCTGGTCTCCGAAGGCAGGGGCGGCTTCCCAGAGGGCCCAAGGGCAGGCGAGGAGCCCCCCCCCCCCCCCGGCTTTTTGCCGGCCACGCGCAGAGGGGGGCAATTAGGTAGGGGGAAGGGGGGAGGGCGTCTTTGCAGCACTCCTGATTATTGTGAAGGCGCAGAGGTTGCTCCTGAGAAGGCGTAGGGCGGGCGCCTCCTAAGAGAAGCAGCCTCCTTCTAAGACTAAGTCGGGCCTGTCCCTCTGCAGGGGGAATATTCAAAAATAGTTAAAAAATAGTCTGGGGACTATTTTTTAGTATGTTTCGATCATTTTGGGCTATTTTTTGGTTATGTTTCATTTTTCGCTGAAAATCCCCCTGTAGGGGGACACGCCCGACTTAAAATTCTACGAATCTTTCCCCCCTTCCCCAGACCATTCCCCCTTGCGCGCGCCGCCAATTATGAGGAGGCCCGCCCCCGCTCGTTTCCCCTCTCGGCGCGCTGCCGACCTTCGGCCTCCAGGGGGGCCGTTCTCGGCCCCCGGCGGGGCAGCATCAGGCATGAACCCGGGCAGGAAGCAGTGGTCCCAGGAGGGCGGTGGGGGGGAGGCCGGGGGCCACAGGTTGCAGACATTGCGTCGTCGGGTGATTGGGGGGGGGGGGGGCGGGGCCGAACATAAACAGCGGGTCCTCTCCCCGTTGACAGAGCAAACCATGGCCCTCACTACCCCATTCACCAGCTCCGTCGGCGACGGCGCTGCTTGCCAAGCCCGAGAAGTTTGCCTGGTTCCACTCCCAGCCCGAGAAACGAGGTCCCAACCCCTGGAGACCCGAGCACCTGCCAATCCTGGAAAGGCTGCTCCCCGACACTGGAAAGGCTGTTCCCAACCCTGGAAACGGAACGGCCGAGCATTGGAAACGGAACGGCCGAGCACTGGAAACGGAAGCGGAACGGTGTGTTGCGGTAGGACCGTCCATTCAGTGCATACGGCATTGCGGCGGATTACGATCCACCTTCACGAGGGTGGTGGCTTCTTCTCACGTTGCTTTCAGGCGTTGTCTCACGCGCTCGTTCGACCCCCAGCATTTGTTGTCGCGTGCGTGCGGATTCTGCCGGCTTCTCAAGGGCAGGCTCCACAGAGTTTGCCCTTGAAGCTCTGTGTTGCACCGCGTTTGTTGCCTCGCGCGGCCAGGCTTCCCGTCCCCCCCCCATGCCGACTTAGAAAGGCGGGGGTTTGGCTGATCCACCTTGGGCGAGCGGATCGACAGTGGCCTAAAGCGGCAGACGGACCGACACTTCGCCGATCCGACTGCATCTGCGGTAGCTCCATGGGAAGCGTGCTGGGTGGGATTTCCGCAGCTGGAGTGATGATGTTTTGGAGGATTCTTCGAGTGCCTGGTGTTTGGCTCGGGTGGGGTTCTCCATGAGAGGGCGTTTGCAATGGCGCAAGGGTTTTAGGAAGAAGCCGGGGGGGGAGACGAGGAGGATGATCGGAGTAGAAGCAGTGGGAGGAGGGGCAGGAGGAGCAGGAGCAGGAAAAGCAGGATCACAGGGGGGGGGGAACTTCCTGGGAGCATCCTGGAAACGTTGCGAGGCCCTCTGGGAACTTCTGCACCGCTCCGAGGGCCTCCCTTGGAAACTCAGGCGGGTTCTGGAATGCCCACAGAAGAGGCGCCATTTGGGAGGAGGAGGAGGAGGAGCAGGAGGAGGAGGGAGGAGGAAGGATGAGGAGTAGGAGCAGGAGGAGGAGGGGAAGTGGTGCAGGAAGAATCAGAGGAGGAGGATGAGGGGGAAGAGGAGAATCAGAGTAGGAGATGGAGGGGTCCGCACGGGCTGCCAGAGATCCCCGGTGCGCCCTGGGGGCCCACGGAAAGAAGCACGCGTCGCGCGGTCTGTGCAAGGATTCTGTGCGGCAGGCCCTGATCCCTCCCACCTTGAATCAGAAACGATTGTATGATGATGCTGGTGATGCTGATGATAATGACTATGCTGACGATAATGCTGTTGATGCTGATCGCAATGATGATGAAGTCGATGCTGATGATGCTCATGATGATGATTATTGTGATTATGATGATGCTGACGCTGAAGGTGGTGATGCTGATGATGATGGTGGTGGTAACGATGACGATGTTAGTGATGATGATGCTGGCGAAGACGATGACGATGATGATGATGATGATGATGATGATGACGATGCTGGTAACGATGATGACGATGATGCTGGTTGTGATGATGATGACGATGATGATGATGGTGGTGGTGGTAATGGTGATGGTGATAGGGATGATGGTGATGGTGGTGATGGTGATGGTGACGATGATTATAAGTTTAATTATGGTGATAATTTCGCTGCTGGTGGTGGTGGTGACGGTGATGGTGCCGGTGATAGGGATGATGGTGTTGGTGATGGTGAGGGTGATGGTGGTGGTGGTGGTGGTAATGGTGATGGTGGTGATGATGGTGGTGATGAAGAGGAGGCGGAGGAGGAAGACGACGACGACGAGCAGGAGGAGGCGGAGGATTGGCGTGGTGGTGGTGGTGATGGTGGTGGTGATGGTGGTGGTGATAATGATGCTCATCAGCATTATCATTATCACCATCATCCTCATCCTCATCATAATCAGCACCATAACCCTCATCATCGTAACCACCATCATCAGCCTTATCATAATCATCATCGGCATCATCATCATCATCATCATCATCATCAACATAGCCATCACCATCAAGCATTATCATCAATGTCGTCGTCGTCGTCATCGTCATCGTCATCGTCATCATCTCCAGCATCATCATTGTCATCGTCATTGACATCGCCATCACCATCACCACCACCACCACCATCATCGTCTTCATCATCAGCATCATTATCATCATTATCATCGTCTTCTTCATCATCATCATCATCATCATCATCATCATCATCATCGTCATGCCATGACGTTTCAACAAGGGGTGCCTGGATATCTTTGGTGTGCGCTGGGCCCCCTGGTGGCGCCTCGGGCGCCACCCTCGGCGCGGGGAGGCTCTGCCGCTGACTCCAGAAGTCTGCGCGGATTTCCCGAGTGCGTTGTTTTGTGTCTTTTGACCTCGCTCTGTGGCGCGGACGGGAGTGTTCCAGGCGGCGGCGGTCTCCGCGCTATGACCGTCTGCATCGGCCTCCCGTTGGCGTCCTTGTTGGGGCATGCTCTCACTTGTCGACGTCGCGGCCGCTGGCCATGACACCTCTCCCCGCCCGCTGCCGAGGTGGAGAGCACGAACGCGAGCTCCTGGAGCGGTTCCCTCGATGGGGCCCGGGTTCGAGACGTCGGCACTCGGAGGACGATCCTGGAGGACCCGAATGACCCAGACAACCCCTCTCTCTCACCACATTGAATTTCGACAGCTTTCCAGCCTGGCCGCAGCGCCCCAGCAAGGTCCAGGTCAACCCGATCGACTCGATTCGATGTCGATACGGACCGTCCCGATGCAATTCGATTCCGACATTGCGACGACGAGCCGATGCGTCGCGATGTGTTCATGGCGTCGCTGTGCGTCCGGGCGCACCCTATCCGATCCGAATTCGACTCCGTGCCGATGTGCCCCGATCTGACGCACGTTCCGAGCCGATCTGACCCGACTTCCCGATTCCATTTTGCTTCATCTTGCCCAGGCGTAGAGTGAAGGCTACCTTGTGGGACACGCTCGCATTGAGGTCGCATCCTGCATCAACGGGGTGTGGATCTCGGTGTGGACATCGTCGCAACACCAAAACCAAGTTTTCTAGGATGTTGAATCGGAAAACTTGACTAAGTTGAACTACGATGCGCCCGCTAAGAGCTAAGCCGAGCGTGAACCAATCCTCTTCGAGGCCAAGCAAGGCCGATATGAGGTGCATCGGTCCCAAACAACCCTCTAGCCATCTCAGGTCTCTTCAAGGGTGGGGACGATTGATGTGTCCGAGTAGCTCTGATTCTGAGTGTACGGCTTCTCTCACCCTGGATTCGTGTCCTCGTCCTCATCCTCCTCGTCTTCGTCCTCATTCAAACGCTGCCAGGGCAAATAATTCCTCGTCTCGCCACCGGACGTGTCGTCGGAACGTTTTTCTTCAGACCTCCATGTTGTTCCCAGTCCACCACGGCAGAAAAGCAATTCACACGTCTGGAGGCACGGTGATTCTGAATTCCGAGCGTTCGTGTGTGTGTGTGCGTGTGTAAGTTTAAAGATGGTTCGATCATTCATATCGCATAAGCAGTTGCACGGTTGAGTAGCGGATGTAGTCTAAAGTATGTTCTCGTTTGAGTTCGTATCACTACGCACGCACCCCAAATAGCAACGTTCCCAGCAGTTACACGGAGAGAGGACGGCAGTTGTTCCAAAGTCGCGTCCTCTTTTCTGAGGCTTCCTCACCGCAATCATTCTGAATTGCAGCTACGGTTTGGCTTCAAATTCTACACGCTTCGCGTAACCCCACCAGTTCGCCTGACCGCGGCCCCGCGCGCGCCCGCCCCCCTGTCGCGGTCGCAGCCCGACCGTGACCGCCTGCCGCTGGCGCTTCCGCCTGCGGCTGTAACAAAAAAAAGTAACCCCACCAGTCGCGCTAGGCAATTAGTTCTGCCCGTAGCCCGAGCCGACCTGTGACGCCGCCGGCGCCTTCGCCTGCGGTTGCGATGCGACAAAAGTAAACCCACCAGCCCATCCAGAAACGATGCCCAGGCGAGTTCCCCTACACACCCCTCCAGACCCAGGGGGAGGGTTGGAAGTATGGGTCAAGACGCCCTCCCCGCCCGCAAGCCGTCTCGCTCACCCCCACCCGCCCTACCAACTCATACGTAGCACCAGACCCTGGCCCGAGCCGCAGCATATTCAGCAGCAGTCTTTGGATGGGCAGCTACTGGGGGCCAGTCCGCCGCCGCCGCCGCCTCCGCCGCCGCCGCCCGCCGCCGCCGCCGCCGACGCCGCCGACGCCGCCGCTGTCCGCCGCCGCCGCCGCCGCCGCCGCGCCGCCCGCCGCCGCCGCCGCCGCCACCGCCCCGCTGCCGAATCGCCGCCGCCGCAGCCGTTGCCGCCGCAGCCGCTGCCGCCACCGCTCCCGCCGCCGCCGCCGCCGCCGCCGCCGCCCCCGCCGCCGCCGCCTCCGCCGCCGCCACCGCCGCAGCCGCCGCAGCCGCTGCCCCCGCAGCAGCCGCCGCAGCCACCGCCGCCGCCGCCAAAAAAAATGGTGGGGGGAGGCCGCATCGGGTTCGCTGCGCATGCTCCGCAATTGGAGGCAGAGTGCTTTTTTGAAGGATGATGGGGGGGGCCCTCATTGGTTCGGGTTGGCTCCCAATCGCCTGGGGGAGGGGGTGTATACTATTAGGGAACAGTGATCAAGAGTTCCTCCCTGCCCGCAAGCCATTTCGCTCACTCCCACCCGCCCTCCCAACACATACGTAGCACCAGAGTCTGGCCCGAGCTTCAGCATATCAAGCAATCGTCTTTGGATGGGCAACCACTGTGGGCCAATCCGCCGCCTCCGCCACCGCCTCCGCCGCTGGCGCAGCCGCCGCCGCCGCCGCCGCTGCGCCGCCGCCGCCGCCGCGCCGCCGCCGCCGCGCCGCCGCCGCCGCCGCCGCCGTCCGCCGCCGCGCCGCCAGCCGCCGCCGCCACCGCCGTCGCCGCTGCCGCCGCCACCGCTGCCAAATCGCCGCCGCCGCTGCCGCCGCAGCCGCTGCCGCTGCCTCCGCCGCCACCGCCGCCGCCGCCGCGGCCGCAGCCGCCGCCGCCGCCGCCAAGTGTATGTTGCATTGTTGTTTGACAGGGATGGTGGGGGGAGGCCGCGTCGGGTTGGCTGCGCGTGCTCCGAAATTGGAGGCAGACTGTGTTTTGCATCGTTGTTTTACCAGGGATGGTAGGGGGCCATCATGGTTCCTGGTTGGCTACCGGTCGCCTGGGGGGTGTCTAGTAATAGGGAACAGTGATCAAGACACCCCTAGGTAGCAAACCGTCTAGCTCACTCCCACCCGCCCCCCCAACACAGAAGTAACACCGAACCTGACTATGTTTAGCGGTCGTCGTTGAATGGACAGCTATTGGGAACCAGAACCGACCCCATGTACGCGACGCTGGGGCGAGGTGCTCCACGCGCGCCAAGCGCGCCAGGCGCGCCAGGACCCCATGGTGCCTGAGCGTGCCAGGCACGCCTGCCTGGTGCGCCAGATGCGCCACGTGCTCCGCGTGCGCCAGGCGCGACGCATACTCCAGCCGCGCCGGGTGCGCCACGCTCGGGGCACGTGCAGACTGTGTCAGGTACGCCTGCGCACGTGACAGCACACATCAGGAAACATGTCAGTCCCCACCTTCCTTGTCGAAAACAAATGCCCATCATTGCGTCTGGCGGGTTTGCGAACAGCCGGCCATACGCCACCACCCTTGTTGTCCCTGTCAAAAGCCACTTGAAAGTGATCGCGGGTTGGCCGCGCATGATCCAGATTTAACCGCGAGGTGCAGTTGGTACGTTTTTTTTTGTCACGTATGGTAGCCCTGCGCACAGCAGGCAATATGCTGACACCCCCGCCGTGCCTTTCAGAAATCATACAAAGTGCTCGGGGGCCTCACGAACATGACTCAAGGCTTTGCCCCAACATGTATTTTGTATATGGACTCTTGACAGGGATGTTACGGGTGGGCGCATCGGTTTGGCCGCGCATGCTCCAAATGTGGAGGCAGAGTGCTTTGTGTATTGTTTTTTGAAAGAGATGGTGGGGGGGGTGAGCATGGGGTCATCATGGATCCTGGCTGGCTGCCGGTCGCATGTGGGAGGGGCTGTATACGAATAGAGAACAGTGATAAACATCTCTATGAAGGGGTAGAGGCAACATGGAAGGACATGCTCCAAACCACTCACGCCCAGAGGGCTAGTGGGATTTCAGGGTTTTCGCCCGAGACACACGCATAACGTTGAACCCGAACGCTTAGAGCGCCCAGCAGTTTTTCGGAGTTGCCAGCGGTTGGCTGACAGAGATCGTGCCCCCGCTGCGGCGCCGCGGACGTTCTCGAGGGCTCTGTCGGCTGCAAGGACGGCGGGTGTCTAGGCCTCCCTGATGCGGTCGGAGCCGACGGGGTCGGAAGATCGCGCCGCATCGTCGATGCCTCGGCGATGCGGCTCGATGTGGGGCCCGATGGTCGCCGCGCTGGCAGCGGCGATGCGGCACCTCCAATCCCATCTGCTCCGACCTTGTTTAGGGAGCTTATGGGGTGGTCGTCTCCCACATGAAACTGCGGCCGTGCCGCAGTTTCGCGGCGCCTTGACGCGGCGGCGACACCAGCGTGGGCATCCCAGGGGAAGGCCACCGGCGACTTGAGCCGGGCCACCTTAGAGCGATCTCCGTTGTCGAAAAGCGGAGTTCGCTCAAGATTGCAGGACTTAATCGGTATCACAAATCGGCGCAGCGGAGGATTGGACCCCGCCGTGAAAATGGTCTTCCAGGCATTTCTTTCGCCACTTGACTCCTGTTAAAACCCCTAGGCCGAGTCGACCACCCCTAGACCCTGCCTTCTCCCCGATCTTCTTTCTGCCCAAAGCGTTCTTATCCTGCCTTCTCCACCCTCAGGCATACAATGTTGGATGCCTTCTCCACCCTCCCGGTCCGCACATCCGAATACGTAAGCACTGCTAGAAACGGCCCTCATGGAGGTCGTGCTGCAACTTGGACGCGTCCCTCCGTCGGTCGTTGCCACCCCCCCTCCCCTGCCTTCCATTCCCGGGACCCTTGTCCAGCATGTCTGGAACGCTGTTTTACTGGACTTTGGCTGTGTTTTGTTTCTCGTTTTGGGAGGGAGGTACAGGAAAACAGGTTCAGCAAAACGACAGACATGACGAGACCAAAACGAAAAACAACGTTTAGGTCCAGCCCTGTTGTCCAGCCTCTTCTGGTCGATGCCGCCAGCCCCCTTAGGGTCGAGCTCGGGCAGGAACGCCGCCTTCGCCGCCTCCGACTTCTCGGACTGCGGCCCCGGCCGCCCACGGCGACGGCGCAAGCGAGAGCCGCTCGAGACGGCAGCGAAAACGAAGCCGACCAAAACCGACAGGCCGCCGGCATCGAGGAGCAGACAATGGCATTCATCAGGAGGGGAAAATCACAGACATAAGTAATCTCCGATTCCCCAGAAAGTATGGGAAAATGTGGGAGGGGGGGGGGTGGAAGACAAACCAGGAGATGTGGGAAACTGTGGGGAATCCTGGGATTTGTGTTTTTCTTTATATATATATATATATATATATGTATACGTGTGTGTGTGTCTGTGTCTGTGTCTGTGTCTGTGTGTGTGTGTGTGCGTGTGTGTGTGTGTGTGCGTGTGTGTGTGCGTGCGTGTGTGTGTGTGTGTGTGTGTGTGTGCGTGTGTGTGTGTGTGTGTGTGTGTGTGTCTGTGTCTGTGTGTGTGTCAGTGTCTGTGTCTGTGTCTGTGTCTGTGTGTGTGTCTGTGTCTGTGTCTGTGTCTGTGTCTGTGTCTGTGTCTGTGTCTGTGTCTGTGTCTGTGTCTGTGTCTGTGTGTGTGTCTGTGTCTGTGTCTGTGTGTGTGTGTGTCCTGGGGCCCCTTGAACAATGGCATTCAGCACAAACCGTCGGAGCTCCGCTCCGCGCGGAGGTCTTGGATCGGCGCCGAGCTCCCCTCCTGGCGCGCTCCGCGCGCTATGGGGAGGCGCCTGAGGCGCCGCCGGCGGGCTCCAGCGCCGATCGGACCTGTGCATTTTTTGCTCGGCGAGAACCATCGAGGACCATCTTGGACCATCGAGCGGAAAAACACACGAAACAGAAAAATGCACGGGAAATGGACGTCCGAACGACGGCAAGGCGGGCTCCAGCGCCGATCCAGGATCTCCGCGCGGCGCCCCGGGAGTTGTGCGTATGCCACTTGCTCTTCCGGCCCTTCGCAGGCGATCCGTCGACACCACTCCCCGGGCGGCGCTCGAAGAAAGCGGCCGCTCGGAAGAGGGGGACGATTCAGGGACACACCCCTGGGGCGCTGTTCGGACGCCAGTGTCGGTGAGGACGACCCCCTGCTCTTGTGTCGCTCAGGGTGAAGTCGGGCCTGTCGCCCCACAGGCCGATTTTGGACGAACAATTACAAGTAGTCAAAAAATACCCCCCCAAGTGGTCAAACATAGCACAACAAACCGACCCCTGACTAGATTTTTACTACTTTTGAATCTCCCCCCCTGTGGAGGGGCAGGCCCGACTTGAGCTCAGTGCCCGCTCTCCGCGCACGCGTCCTCGTGACTCGTGGACACCCCGCGCGTCCTCGTGACTCGTGACTCGTGACTCGTGATTTGTACTATTTTTGAACATCCCCCCCGTGGAGGGGCAGGCCCGACTCGAGCTCAGTGCCCGCTCTCTCCGCGCACGCGTCCTCGTGGGCACCCCGCGAGGCCCCTCCTGGAGGCCCGCGTGGCCTGCGGGCCCTGGGGCCCTCGGCCTCCCAGACTGCATGGGGCCCTGGGCACAGATACACAGACACCAATCGCAGGATTCCCCATATGTTCCGAATATTAGTCCATCTTTCCTGGGCGGTTCCCATCTTCCCAGATTTTTCCCAGCATGTCCCCACACTCTTGCCATGTGTTTCCCATAAAGAACAAAGAGCAATTTTCCCACATGTTCTGGGTTTTTGTCTTCCCCCCCCCCCCACACACACTTCCTTTTTTAAGGGGAAGCGACGATCATGTGTGTGTCTGTCTGTGATCATTGTCTTTGACAGACCTCCGAACCGCAGCACCCTGCACCTCCCAGACGGCCCCAGACCCCCGACGGCACGAGGGCGGAGGAGGACCCGGGCCCCGCGAGCCCTGACGACAAGCACACGGCGGGCCAGCCTCCGCCCTTGTCGGCTCCCTGGGGGCCGTCCTCGGCCTCGGGGCCGTCGGGACACGAGCCAGGATAAAGGACCGGCCCCGGGGAGGGTCGAGGTCGAGACCACCAGGGGTCGACGTTCTGGAAAATCGTGACGTCGGAGGTCTGGGGAGGAGGAGGCCTCGAGAGCTTCCCCAGGGCCAAAGGGCCTTCCCCGTCTCCCTCCCGGGAGGTCTCCAGGGGCCCCTGCAGCCCCTTGCACACGTGTTCGCTTCCGAATCCCGAGCCTGGCCGTACGCCGCGCGCTGGTGTTGGATCGGAGGACGGAGAAGCGTCACCAACACCACCGGGGGGGCCACCTCCAGCGGGGAGGGCCACGATGCCTTCTTGAGCTGGAGGCGGGGGGATGTCTCGAGCGAGAGGGGTGGACCGCACCACCAGGGAAACCCCCCCTTGCTCCTTGCATGTCCTCACCCTGGTGGTGTCGGTGTCGCCTTTCCTTGTTCCTATGGGTGTGGGTTCGAGGCGGCCATGAGTGGATGATGACTAGGGTGGGATATCATGATGGGGGCCTTGATATCTCCCCAGATATTATGACCCCCCTCCTTTTTATTTCAATGCGCCGCGCACATGCCGCCGGCCATGATTTGCGCCCCCCCTCTTGGACGCACCCGAACATACATGTTTTCGTTCCCGATTCCCGAACCTGGACGTACGCCACTCGCTGGTGTTGGATGTTGGCAGCGAGCGAGAGGGGGAACGGAGAAGGAGAAAGCCTTCTCAGGAGGCGGCGGGGCTTCCCAGAAGGCCTCGCGCCGTCTGCGAGGTTTTCCGCGTTCTGGGGTAAGGCCTCGGCAACTCGCAGCAGGCCAGGGGACCTCCGAGCCATCTGCGAAGGCCCGCCCTTTCTCACCTCCCCCCCTTGCTCGCCGCTGAGTGGAGGGAGGCCCGCCTGCGCTGGGCCGGCCTGGGCCCGCGCAGCCCCGAGCCTCCAGAGGGGAGGTACCTCAAGAGCGACCTCGCGAAGGACGACGCCTGCGCGGAAGCCGGGGCCTCCGGGCTGCCGCCAGAGGCCCTGTCTGGTGGAGGGGGATCCCAGGCCACTTGAGTCATGGAAGAATCACGACAAGACGCTTCCTCGCTATTTTTGGCCTTCGGGGGGCCCTTCCAGGGCCTCGGGACAGTCAGAAAGCGAATCAGGATGAAAGACCGGTCCTGCGGAACGGGGCGAGACCTCGGATCCGAGGCTCGAGGATCGAGGCTTTTGGGCGTCTATCGCCTTTTTGATGTTTCTGAGACCTTCGGAGACTTCCGGAGGCCTCCTCGTAGGGGGCAGGTCGGCACCGGCTGCCGGCGCCTCCGCGTCCGCCGCCCCCTGTCGTCTTCTTGCTTCTTGTCCTCCTCGTCCTCCCAGACAGTTGGAGGTTGGTGGGATTGGGGTTGTGGGCTGGAAAGTTGGGGGCTGGAGGGTACACTGTCAAAAGATTGGAGGGTTGGGCATTGGAAGGTCGGAGGTTGGAAGGTTGAATGTCGGAGGGTTGGGGACTAAAAGGTTGGGTGTTGGAAGGTTGGGGGTCGGAGTGGACCTTTTCTTGCGTTTCTTCCAGCCTCGCGGTGCATGTTGGGCAGTACCGGAGTCTTCTGAACCATGCGAGGGCCGTCTGGGGGTCTTGGTGCCCTCGTGGATCGTTTTGGGGGATTCCTGGAGGCCTCGTGAGGGCTTTTTCGGCAGCATCCTGGGCCGCCTCGGGGCGTCTTGGGACATTTGAGGCTCTCATGGGCTTTCGTGCGCTGTTTTGGGGCCCTCCTGGGCCGTCGTGGACTCCAGAGGCCCACCTGGAGCCATCCTGAAAGCATCTTGGAGCTCTCTGAAGTCTTCTGGAAGCCAAGTTGAGCAGAAAAGTCGAGCAAGCCAATATTTCTGAAAACCCAACGGGTTTTGACAATTTGGGAGCGTCTTGGAGATTCTCTTGGAGCCTCTTGTGGGCCCCCTGGGGTTTCTTTGGGGCCTGATAGAACCACACCCGAAACTTCGTGGGGTATCTCGGAGCTCTCTTGGGGAGCTTAGGGCGCCGTCTTGAACGCTTCTGTCGGCTGGAAGAGCCTCTAGGAAGCTTCAAAAGCCACCAGGAACGCACTGGGAACGGGTGGTCTAGGCGCATTCGGGCCGTCCCCCTTCAAACGTGCAAGTTTGGGTCCGGTGGGTGGGGGGGGGAAGTAAGGGGGGTGCAGCATCTCACGCGCCCAGAGACCCCATAGGGGTCGGCGGAGTATGCGCAGTAGAGCGTAGCAGAGAAGTGTGTAGAATGAGAGTTGATAGCAGCGTGTAGTCAAATTGGGTCATGGATCAGCGTGGGGTGTGAGACCATGGCCTGGAATGCGTGACAGCAGAATGCTGGTGTTCAGAATGGTATGCATGTTGTTTCGAGTGGGATGTGGATTCGCGTCAAAGCCAAAGTTGCTGCTATGGCGATAGGCAGGTAGCGTCGATCATATTAGACAGTCAGAGTTCGATTCGGATTGAATGTATGATCGGATTTACGCGTCCAGGTTTCACGCAATAGTTGGTCGAGTAGAGCGTATAGCGTAGCAGAAGTCCAGCTATGCTGTATGCTGCATGCATGATAGTTTGAGGACAGGGCTTCAGGGTTGGGGTCGAGTCGGAAATGTGTTTGGGGTCCAGAGGACTGCTCTACATACACGCTTCAAGTCATCGATCGTACACTCACGCGTGCAGCATAGTTGCGCACCTTAGGTGTATACGATGGCTAAGCAGATCCACAGTGCCTGTACGTAGGCACGCACACGCAGACGCAGACCGAACACGTACGCGCAGATGCGCCCTGGCTGCAGTGTTTGTGCAGACGCAGACCGAACACGTACACGCGCGCGCATTACACGTGTGCCCGAGGCATTCGCACATCTCACTCATCGTATCCATTTGCAGTGGTATCAGATTTGCATTCCACTGCCCGCCCTTTCTACCTGCAATTCCTGTTCCAATCCCACCCCCGTTCATTCCAATACAGTGCACGTTTCCTTCACAGTCCTATCAGGAACACACCTTGGAAATGTCACTCCGCCTTCCGGCAATCTTCTATCATGTTCGATTCGGCATCCCCGAGATTATCCGTCCAATCCTGCATGTTTCGCCAATGCCTTCCCCACGCGTCCACGATACGAGCTCCCTGCGGCTGCTCCGCTCTCCTGGCAGTTTGCGGTTGGAAGTTCCAAGCCAAGGGTGTCCGGGGCACGCCGTGGCCAGAACCTGAGCGCGCGTGGTTCCAGCAGGCGACCGGCAGAGTGCGCCGGAGTCCGGCAGTTTTGCACGTTCCACTGTCGTGTATAGCCAGGACCCCGGGTAAGGGGACCCGGTTCGTGGTAAGGCCCTGGAGCCTCTAAGTAGGCCAGAATCACTAAACCAGGTTTGCCAGAGCTGGTGCTTTTTCGGGTGACGGCAGTTCCGGTCAGTGGAAATGGGACGGGGGGGCGCCCCCGGTACAAATCATTAAACCAGGTTCCACTAAACCCCGTTCTGCCAACTCCCGACACTGGTTAGCTGGCTGCCTGTGCTAGTTCAAAGGGCAGCGCTGTTTTTTGTTCACGATGCAAGGGCGGCAATGTTAACGGTGACCATGTTGTGGCACAACAAAGAGGTCCGGGGCGGATCCCCCTCCCTGCAGGGCCCTTGGACCACGAATGGCCGGGAGGGGCGCCGCCGGAGGTGCAGAAGGAGCTGGAAGAGGCGAGCATGAAGGCCGGCTGCGCCGCGGTTGCGTTCGCGACTCCCCGCGCCCACCCGGTCCCAACTCACCCTCCACCCCCCCTCTCTCCTTCTCTTTTCCTCTCCCTCTCCCTTTCCCTCTCCCTTCCCCCCCCCCGCTCTCCCTCTCCCGTCCGTTCCTGTTCGTCTTCGTCTTCGGGGAGTTCAGGGGGAGGTAGGATTTGAGTTAGGAGTATTTCGCTACGCGAAGGCTGTAATCCTTGCTCCCCGCTCATCCCGCTCCCCTCCTTCCCCATCGGCCCTCCGCCCTTCAGGGGCTCCCTGGCCCCTCGTGCGGGGAAGGGGGCTGGCCCGTGCCGCCCGTTCGCGCCCCCCTGCCGTTGGCGGCCTGGCTGCACTGCGCCAGCGCCGCGTTGATTCGAGCAGTGGCGAAGCGTCCTGGCTCGCCTACAGCTCCACCAATCACCAGCCTCGAACGTATCCCTATCCCTAAGATTGACACGCCAAAAGGCGATGACAATCTTAGGGATTCGCCCTGAAAAACTAAGGGAATCCCTAATATTGGCATTGTGTTGAGGCGATGCCCAGCTTAGGGATAGGGATAAGTTCCAGGCTGGTAAACCAAGCAATGTTCTAAGAACCTCTTGTGGCTTCCACGGAATGTTCTTAGGGCATTTCTGGCGGAGTCTGTCTTGTTTTAACACATCGGGTTAGTGTTTCTAAGAACCTTGTTTTTGTTATTCGAACAGGTGTTGGTTCTATGAACATTTCGTGGTAGGACTACAGGAATGCCGGGACGGTCGGCCCCTGCTCAATTTATGCGCTGTCCCTGTTCGGAAGTGTCCAGTCCGTCGGCAGGGCGCCGTTCGACGTCTGTACTTCGGCAAGCACGATGTCATCGACACTTTCGAGCATCCTGTAGCTCGCTCGAAGCCTGAGTGCCGCTAGACCATACGCGAGTCTCTGCTGCATCTGGTTCGACGCCGGCGCGAGTGTAGCCAGTCTCCCTGTAGCTGTTGCCAGGGATGCCCATCACTGTCGACGGCCAGGCCATCGAGGCGGTCGCGCAGTGTGAGGGCGGCCGCATCCCGAGAAGGAGTTCTCTCGGTGCTTGCGGTAAAGCGGCGGCTCGAGTATGACCAACGTCTCGCGGAGCCGTTATTTGGGATTCCCATATCTGGTGACGGCGGTTTTGCAAGATTTTGTGAGAGCCATGGGGAACGGCGAGCTCAGAGTTCACCCAACTCGCAGGAGACTCTCGCTTATGCGGAGATTGACGGTGGTCATGTTTCCGAAAAGCCTGCCGACCAGAAGGAGGCGAATGCACAGGGCGACAAGCAACGTCGAAGGAGTGAGCACCATGATAATCTCTGTGTTGGCCCCGTGGGTCAATGCTTTCTTCCCCCGGCAGTGGCCTGCACGTAGGGGTCGGATGGGTCGGCCGAGCTTTTGCCAGAGGCCCGCCTGTGGGAGCCTCGGGCGATGCGTGGGTCAGCCAAGGGTTCACCTGCTGCCGGCCCGTGGGCGCTTCGTGGGCGCCTCGTACGCTGTGTGCGTCGGCCGATGTTTCGCCTGGTGCCCTCCCGTGGGCGCGTCGTGCGCTAGGTGAATAGGTGATGGTGATGATGTTGATGATGATGAGGAGGATGATGATGGTGATGATGATGATAGTGATGATGGTGATGATGGTGATGGTGATAGCGATTGTGATGGTGATGATAACGACGGCGGAGGGACGAGGATGAATATGGAGATGGTGATGATGGTGATGGTGATGGTGGTAATGATGAGGAGGCGGAGGAGGATGATGCTGAGGATGCTGAAGTTGGTGATTATGATGATGGTGCTGATAATCCTGATGCTGACGATTGTGATGATGCTGCGAATGATTATGATTTTCGATAATGATGCTGATGCTGATGTTGATGATGATACTGCTGATGATGGTGATGTTCACGATGGTGATGGGTGTAATGACGATGCTGGTGATGCTGCTGACGACGATGCTGATGATTGTGATGTGGTGATGATGCTGATAATGATGTTGATGCTTTTGCTGTTGTTGACGACGATATGATAATACTGGTTATTATGATGATGATGGTGATGATGCTGGTGGTGATGACGATGGTGATGGGTATGATGATGCTGATGATGACCACGATGCCGATGTTGATTGTGATGACGGTGGTGATGATGATGTAGATGATATGCTTATGTTGATGTTGACACCGAGGATCTTGATAACGATGATTTCGATGTCGATGACGATGATGCTTATTATGGCACGTATGATAATGGTGATGATGATGCTGATAATGATATTGTTGATGATGGTGATGATGGTAAGTGTGATGATGATTATGATGCTGATGCTGATGATGACGACGATGATGATGATGCTGACGATGAGGAGGATGATTATTATGATGCTGATGCTGATGATGGTGATGATGATGATCATGCTGATGATGATGCTGATGATGATGATGACGATGCTGCTGATGATGCTGATGATGCTGATGATGATGATGATGATGATGATGGTGATGATGATGATGATGGTGATGATGATGGTGTTGATGAGGCTGCTGCTGGTGATGATGATAATGCTGCTGATGATGATGCTGCTGATGGTGGTGGTGGTAGTATCGATGATCATGCTAGTGATGATTACGAGGAGGAGGATGAGGAGGAGGAGGAGGAGGTGGGCGGCGAGTGGAAAGGCCAGAGGCTTCTTGGATATTTCTCGGGGTCGCTGGGGATGTCTCTTGAGAGTTTCCTGGAGTTCTCTTGGGGCGTATTGGGGACAGATTGGCGGTCTTGGGGGCTTCTGGGAGCGCACTGGGTGTTTCGGGGGAGTGTCTTGGTGCCAAGTGGGGGCACATTGGAGGCCTCCTGGTGCCACCTGGGCGCCTCTCGAGGACCTCGTGCGGCACTTGTCGGAGGCCCAGGGGCCGTCTTGGGGCCACCTTGGAGGGCTTCGATCAGAAAAGGGGAGGGGGGAACCGCGTCGCCCCACCCAGGAGGCCCACGCTGGCCTGCGTGCCTTCTCGCCGAGGCCGTCGCGGCCCGCCCCGTCCAGGTTCAGGGGAAGGGGTAGTATTAAGTCGGGCCTGTCCCTCTACAGGGGTGGACATTCAAACATAGTAAGACCAATAGCCTGGGGACTAATGTTTTTTGTTGTTGTTGTTGTTTTTTATACCATGGTTGAGTTGTTTTGTATGTTTGGGATACGTTTTAATTGTCGTCCAAGATCATCCTGTAGGGGGACAGGCCCGACCTAAGGGCAGTTTGGAGGGGTCGAGGCACCGTCCCCGCCCGCGAGCTGCCTCGCGCATCCCCACCCGCCGTTCCAGCACTTGGCAGCACCCGAGCCTCAGCATGCCTGGCGTTCGTCCATGGATGGGCAGCTGCTGGAAACCAAAACAGACCCCACGTGCGCGACGTCGGGGCGATGTGGGCCACGCGTATCAGGCGCGCTGCGCGCGCCAGGTGCGCCAGGCAGCCCTGGGACCCAAGCGTGCCAGACACGCTTGGCGCTCCAGACGTACAATGTGTTCCACGTGCGCCACGTTCGGGGCACGCGCAGAGTGTGCGCACGTGACAACGTGCATCGGGAAGCATGTCGGTCCCATCATCTTTGTCGAAAACCAATGCACAACCGTGGCGGGGAGGACATCATGGTGTTTGGTGGGCCTGCACACAGCAGGCAACATGCCAGCACCACCGCCGTCCTTGCCAAAACCAACGGACAATGACCGCGGGGTGGCTACGCATGGTCCAGATTTAGCTGCGACGTAGATCTGTGTGGAGGCCTTGCGCACAGCAGACAATCTGAGGGCACCACTGCCACCCCGATCAAAAACCATACGAAGTGTTCGCGGGGCCCGCGAGCACGACTCAAGATGTTGCCCCAAGGTATGCGTTGTATTCTTTTGTGGCAGGGGTGGGGGTGTCTTGGGTGGTTGCCTGCCGCCCGGGGGAGGGGTGTTTATATTCCAGACGCTTCGCGTAACACCAGCAGCCCTGTCAGCATGGAGTCTGGCGCCGCACCGGCGACTCACTCTGCTGTCTTCGCACTTGCAGCTCGTTCACTCCGGTCACGCTGCTGCGCCTATGTGCGTTTGCTTGTGAATTGAGTTAAGTTTGTTCTGTGCATGTGCAATTGCGAGCGTGTCTTGCAGGTGCGAACTGGCTGCCGATAGTGGCGGCTGTGTTCGCAAATTCGCTCCGTGCCGCATCCCGGACGCTGCGTCCGCTCCCTGACCTTTTTGCCTTGGAGCCGCGAACCAAAAAAGTAACCCCAGCAGCCAGCTGATGGAAGGGTCGGCCCCCTGGAGTCTCGGGGCCTTCCCCGTGGTGCACGGGTTGGTGGACCTTGGAGTTTGTGCCGCTTGAGTGGTTCAGCCTTCGCAGCCGCGGCCGCTCCCCCGGGCCCCTCCCACTTTCCAGGCTGGTTTGCGACGTTCCTCTGCAGCGCAGCCCACCTGGCTCGCACACGCCGTTGGCGCGACCTGGGCTTGGCGCCCCACTGGCGACTCGCCCTTCGCTTACTACCCCTGGACGCCCAACGGGCATGTTGGACACGCAGTCATCGCCGCACTCGTCCTCGTGCTTCGTGCGGGCCTTGCCTCACGGCACACCCCTAATTCCCCAACGTTTTGCTGGGCTGCATGTGCCTGAGCTTCCCTGGACGCCCTCAGCTTGCCAGCTCTCCCGCGCAGCCTGTCGCTGTTTGGTGGGTGGGCCGGCCGGCCTGTGGCGCGTTTAGTTTAGTAGCTAATTAGGCCGGTTCCGTGTCCCGGAGCGCTTCTGACTCCGCCTGCGCCTTCGCTGGTGGACGGACCGAAAAAGTAACCCCAGCAGCCCATCCAGAAACGATGCCCAGGCGAGATGCCCTGATCAGGCATGTGGGGGAGCACGCAGTGGAAGAAAGGCTGGGGATCCGTCAGACCCACAGAGGGGAGGATGGAGGAACCAGGGGAGGAAGAGGACGAGGAGGAGGAGGAAGAGGGGGAGGGGAAGGGGAGGAGGAAGGAGAGAGGAGGGAGGAGGAGGAGGAGGAGGAGGAACATTAGGCGGATGATAAAGAGGAGGAGGGCGAACAGAAAGGCCAGAGGTTTCTTGGGTGCTTCTTGGAGTCATTGTGGATGTCTCTCGAGAGTTTCTTGTAGTCCTGCTGGGGCGTCTTGGGGGCCTCTTGGCGGTTCTGGGGTCTCTTGGAGCGTCTTTGGTGTCTCGGCGGGGCTTCTTCGGTCTCTTGGGAGCCTCTTTGGGGGTTTCGTAGGGCCTCGTAGGGCCTCCTTGGCGCCTCTTGGGTTCGTGGGAGCTTCGGGGGCCATCTTGGTGTGAGGTGATCGATCAAATAACGGGGAGGGGGAGTGGGAGGACGAGGGGGGGAGGAAGGGGGGGGCCGGGCGGGGCGGGGGAGGCAATTGGCGCCTCCCTCCCAGGAGGCCAAGAATCGTTCAACACGTTTTTGTCAAATCAATGATGTTGGTATCCTCGCCGATGCCATTTTGAACACTATAACAGTCCCGCCCGCCCCCAAATGGCTGGTGGGATTAATCGGGAGCAGTGATAGATCCCTCCCTGAATTGGAAGGAGGGGAGTTGAAAGAGGAATCGCGTTAAACCACTCACGCGCAGAGGGCTGGTGGGAGCCCACAACGAATTCGAAGGGACCTGGGGGCACTCCACTGGGTGCCTATGGCACGGCTGCGGGTTCTCATCCTCTCCGCTCTCCTCTTGCTTTTCCTGTTCCTCCTCCTCCGTCAATTGTCCTCCTCCCACATCCTTCCCCCCTCCTCCATCGGCTTTCCTCCCATATCCTCCATATTCTTCCTCCTAGTCCTCCTCTTCCTCCTCCTCCCCTGGCGTCTCCTCCCTCCTCACTCCCCGTCCTCCGTCGTTCCTTCCGCCTTCTGCTCGTCGTTCCTTCCCCTCGCTGTTCCTCCTCGTCCTCCTCTCCCCCCTCCCCCGACCGGCGAGACGGAGACCGACGCCGATGAGGAGGAGCGCGACTTCGGCGAGGACGACGACGCCGATGGCAGCGGGCCCGCAGGCCCGGAGCCCTGCGCTCATTCTTGGGCGTTGCGCATGGAGGGGGGGGGGCGCGATAGAGAATCCAGAGTTTTGGCGGTCCGATGTTTTACCTTGCGGTTCTGCCCACAGGCCGGCCCTCGGAGGCGGTGTCCTGGCCCGCGAACATCGAGCATGGATCCGGGGCGAAGGTCGTCCCGCGGGGAAGCGGTCCGGAGCCCCCAGGGCAGCGGATGTCAGGGAGTGAGGGGGGAGGGTCGAAGGTTGCAGGAGAGAGGCCTCGGAGGGCCCCCCCTAAGGTGCCCGATGGGTGCACCGTTCCTCATCCCCCGCGGTTGTTGTTCCCCCCCACCCAACCTTACCCCACTTGGGCGACTCCCGAGACCTCGCAGGGGGAGGGAGGGGGGGGGAGGAGCAGGAAGTGAGGATGAGGAGGAGAACCAGGACGAGGACGAGGTCGAGGACGACGGCGACAAGGACAAGGAGGAGGAGGAGGAGGAGTAGGAGGAGGAGTAGGAGGAGATGTGTCTTTAGGAGCTCTTTGGATCCTCAGCCCGTCGCACGCTAGAGCAGATCTGGCCACCATTGCACTGCGGCATGGCGCCTCGCGGTCACACATGCCCCTCGAGGGGACCTCCTTTACGGGCCTCGCGCCCAACCAGACCTGCTGGGTCCCGCCTGCTACTTTACGGGCCTCTCGTCCAACCGAAAGCCTGTGTAGGCCACGGGACGGCGCTACTCTGCCAGCCGACTGCATCAGGCCACCTAACGCGAGCCGACCGACTTCCCCCAGGCTCCTTAAGCCAACGACTGGCGCTTGGGGTGCCTGACTGACACGCGTGCCGACCGAGTGGACAGAGTCGCGCACGCGTGCGCTCGAAAATCACTGTAACGGCACACCGTCTTTGGTTTGAAAAGGGACACGACATTGTAACGGCAGGCCCGCTTTGGAACCCGTGCGCACGCTTTCCATTAATCAATGCTGAGGGCTAGCTCACGGGCGTGGCCTCTCAGTCAAACGTGAACGGGTATTCGAGGGTGTGGGGGACACCGACATCAGCCGGGGGCGGGCGGCTGTTTCTGCGGCTGCGGCGCCTTTTCCTGCTGGAGGTTGTTTTTTTTATCGCTCCCCCGTAACGCTTGTCGCGGGTGGTCCACCCCCCGCTCCCCCTGTAACGGTAAGATCGTACGGCGGGCGGTGGCGCGACCCCCTCCCCCCCGTGCGCGCGGCTGTCGGGGTGTACACATAGGCGGCGTACACAGGCGATGTTGTGCACGCAGGCACTGTGGGGTACACCGGCGCTGTGTTACACGCGGCTGCCGTGGTGTACGTGGGCGCTGTGGTGCGTGCAAGCACCCGTGCCTTGGTTACCACAGAAGATGATGTTTTCCCCCCCATCTTTCTCTCCTCACATGCCCCGGTTGTGCTCGCGGGTCACTGTTGTGTTTGTACGCCGCGGTGCTCTCAGGCTATTGTTTTGTTCACACTGCAAACGGAAAAAGAAGGAGGGTGAGCAGTCGGGAGCCTTGAGACGGGGGTCAATGCAAACGGGGGTCAGCCAGGACACCGGATCCTGCAGGATCCTGCGAAGACCCCTTCTGGCTGACCTGGGTTAGCGAGCCGCTCGTGGCCGCGAGGCGGTCGCGCATATTGGCTGACCCGGGTTTGCGAAGGCCTGCGTTTCAGTTGTTTTCTTGCATTGCAGTTGTTTGGTTTCTTGCTGACCCGGGTCTGGATTGACCCGGGTCAGAAGATCCCCGAAGTAGCGGCGAATGCAACAGAGCGGGGAGGAAGCAGGTATCAGTCCCCGTGGGCGGCGAAGTTACGTGAGGCCACCGTACAGGGAAACTAACATCGAACCGCATCTATCAATCTATCGCCGATCTATTGGTAGATGTGGTTCAGCTTCAGTCGCCGCAGTCACCATCACCGCACATCGCATGCGTGACACGATGGCCGTCGCGTCAGGGCCCGTTGTCCCTCCAGGAGGAGGAGGAGTGGGGGGAAGAGGAGCAGGAGCAGGAGCAGGAGCAGCAGCAGGAGGAGGGCTGGGATTCATTTGCTTGCGAGACAAGCCTCTGCCTAGCGTCTACTGGCGAGGGCGTCTCGGCGCTGTGCGGCTGCGAGTCTGTCAGCTTCTCAGGCATTCAGCGATGGCGACGGCGACGGCGGCGACGACGACGAACGACGACGTGTGGCTCAAGAGCTTCCTTGGCTCAAGCATCTTGGCCTCCTGCTGCTGCTTCTCCTGCTTCTGCTGCGTCTATTCCTTATGGTGACGCCGTTCCGCGCGCCCCCGGGCCGCGTGGTGTTAACGGGCGCTGTGGTGCATGCAGATGATGCCACAGCAGCTGCAGCGGTCCCAAACATTATGGTGTTCGCAGGCAGGGAAGTGCACAGAGGCAGCGCGGTACACAGGCAGTGTCGGCCAAAAACCGAGGGACCGCGCCCGGGGCCACAAAAGTCAATAACGTTCACAAAAAATTGACAGGTTGATTTTGATATGTTCGGGTCCCTGGCGGTGGCATGCTGTGCGCGTTCGCTCTAATGCACGCGGCCGCTGTGTCTGCCGTGCACGCGGTGCTCTGGTCCACGCGCGCGTCTACAGCGGTACATGCGGCAACGGCTCTGTGATGCACACGGCTGTTGTGGCGTGCGCGTGCCATGTGGTGTACACAAGCGCTGTGGTGCACGCGGGCTCTGCGACGCAGGCATTCAGGCGCTCCATTCTGGTGCACGCAGGAGCTGTGGAGCACGCGGGCACTGTGGTGTACGCCGGCGCTGTGTTGCACACGGCTGCTGTGGTGTACACAGGCGCTGTGTTGCACACAGGCATTGCAGTGTACACAGGCGCTGTGGTGTACACGGCTGTTCTGGTAGGCGCTGTTGTACACGGGCGTTACAATGCGCGCAGTCATTGTTGTGTAGATTGGCGCTGTGTTGCGCACAGCTGTTGTGGTGTACGCAGGCGTTGCGGTGTGCACAGGCGCCGTGCACAGGCGCAGCGGTGCACGCATGCCCCCCCGCCCCTGCCCCAACCGTTACCGCTCCCCCCTCCCCCTCGCCTCCCCCCTCATAACGGACGTTACGGGCCCAGAATAAAAATAAACGCTCTCTTGCGGCTGCGGCCTCTTGTCCACGATGCTGCGCGCGAGGCGTTGGAAGCGCGTGTGTGAATTCGTCCAGCTTGTCGCCGACCTTCCTCAGCCCGGTATTGCACGTTTCCTGCTCCTCTTCTCATGTGGCCGACGGGGTTGGGGTTCCCATACTTCTTCTCCTCGTCCCACTCCCCAGGCTGGCGGCCTGGCGTTGCCAAGGCCGGGCGCTGGTTCGCGTAGAACTTGAGGTTGCCGCACCGCACCTCATCCCAATGCCCATGCTGGCCCCTCCAGGCCCCGCCCTGGTTCGCGCAGGAAAGGTACCTGCCGTACTCCTTCGCCTCGTCCCGATTCCCATGCTGGCCCCCCGGGGCCCCGCCCTGGTTCGCGTAGGACTGGTAGACGATGTACGTGTTGTTCACCTTGATCCGGGCAGCCTGCACCAAGGTCTGCATCCATGGCACTGCGCTGCTCTGCGACGAAGGGGTCCACCATCCCGGCGGCTTCGACGGTGACTGTTTGGATTCGAGTCTTCGGCAGCAGTGCGGGCTCAACGGGCCGATTGCTGTGTGCGCGAATGCACTGGTGTATCCCTGTCTGCGCACTGTTGGAACGAAGGTTCACGCGTGTCCTTCCTCCTCTGCTGCGTGTGCGACGTGCACGAATCAGTTCGAAAAGCGAAGAATCAGTGCGAACAGCTTTTCTTGGAGTGAGCACTTGAGCGGCCACGGCCGCACAACGGCCTCTTCTTAGTTGCAGTTGCACTTGTTTGAATGTTACGGTGCGCCCGCGCGGTCCCTCGCGCCGACCGCGGCGGAGAAGAGCGGAGAGTGACGAGGAAAGAAGAAAAGGAGTGGGAGGAGGAGGAGGAGGAGGAGGCGGAGGAGGAGGAGGAGGAGGAGGAGGAGGAGGAGTAGGAGGACGACGAGGACGTTGAGGAATGAGGGATGGGGGGGCATCGGCGGGGAAGAGGGCGAGGGGAGTATATGGCGGAGAAGCAGAGGGGGAGGGGAGGGTGGGTCGACGGATAGATCGGCCGTCGGCCCACGAGATGAGAATGGGAATGAGGGATGATGGGGCGGAGGACAACGAAGGAGGAGACAGGACTTCCCTGTCCAGCTCTCGGGATCAATGCTTTGAATTGTTTGTTGCTGCCGTTCGTGCATCGTTGCGTTGTAGCGCTGGGTTTTTTTGTTCAGAGAGGGCACTGCAGTTGTGCTTTCTTGCACCCCCTACAGTTTCTTTCGTAGGGGAAGACAATCGGCGTTTCGGCCGCAGTCTCTCACGACTGGTCGTTTAGTCCGTTTGGGGAATTTCACGGTTTTCCTCATGGCCTGGATGGCTCCAATCAGGAGCGGCGGTGTCGGCGCGCGTCGTCGGTGGTGTTTGGGTTGCCGCCCAGCTCGGGGGCGGGGTTCTTAGCAAGTTTCCGGCGTCCTCGTCGCCACGGGCGCCGTGGCCACGCGGACGCGCTCCTGGCGGACCTGGTCTGTCCTTGCGAGGCGTGCCGCTGCTCTGCCGGGCTGGGGAGGCTTGGCTCCGGCAGCTCTGGTGTTGCCGCTTTGGCCCGCGCGCCCTCCCTTGGTGGGTGTGGCTCGCTGCTGCCCACGCGGGCAGCGCTGTCTTGCTGGGGTGTGGGTATGGCGTGTCGGGCAGCCTCGCTTGTTACCAGCTTCGAACGTACCCCTATCCCTAAGATTGACACGCCAAAAGGCGATGACAATCTCAGGGATTCGCCGTCAACAAATGAGGGAATTCCTAAGATTGGCATCGTGATGAGGAGGTGCCCAGCATAGGGATAGGGATATGTTCCAGGCTGGTAACTTGGGGCCCTGCTCGCCCGTCACGCCAGCAGCGTCTTTTCTGCTGTCCCAGTGCAGGCGCGCCCACCCCAAGGGAGGCAGCGAGAAGATGTTCCTCCTCTTGCGCTTCGCCTGTCCCTCCGCGATGTCTCCTTTCTCTCCACACGACGTGCTTCCTCTCCTGCGTGCCTCCCGCGGAACACAGTGGGCCGTTTGCGAGCGTTCCGAGAGTATGTCTGGAACTTCGGGGAGCGGGATGGAGGCTGTCTGCGGCCTTCTCCTCGCTCCGTTGGCTCGTGGTGTTTCTCTTGCTCGTCGTCTTCCTCGTCCTTGTCCCCGTGCTCCTCCTGCTCGTCGTCGTCATGTGTCTTCTCGTCGTTCGCATGGTCGCCGTGGTCATCCTCGTCCCCGTCGTCATCGTCGTCTTGCTGCTTGGCTTGCGTCCTTCGGGGTGTACGGCGGCTCCTGAGGCCGTCCCGCTAACCAGGACGCCGCGGGCTGCCCAAGGGAGCATTCCTCCCCCGCACAGGCGTGGCACTGCGCCCTTCGATGGGTACACAAAACAAGCCCAAGTTTCTGGAGCGAATTGACGCTGGCCACATCGCTGGCCGCCGCTTAATAGATCGACGAGGGAGTAACGGGTCGGACACCGCTCATAGATAGAGTGATACTGCAGTGCAGTCGTTGTCCTCTCCGCAGTTCTCGGAGCCGGAAAAGGCCCTCCGTTGATGTCCGCCCACGCGGAAATTGCAAGCGTTGTTTTTCCTTGGCGCATTTACAAGGCGTAATGATGAATTCCAGCGGGTTGTTCGAGTATTTTGTGTTGGAGAGTGGTAGGGGGGGCTAATCCCAAACGGGTGGCTTCCGATGCGAGTGGGCAGAATTTGGCCCCCGCGTGTACGGTGAAACAAATGGAAAAGGGATCGAACGGAAGAGCGAGCAGGGGGAGTACCGGAATCAAGCACGCCCGCGCCCTCACGCGCGAAAGCAGTGTCTTGCGACGAGTGGGGCGCAGAACCTGATCTCTTCTTTTGTCCAGGCTCATTCTTCCCGTGTGCGGCTCGAGGGGACGAGCGAGTACAGCCAAGACGCTGGAGTAGTAAAGACCACTTGGGGGTTCAGGAGGGCCCTGGTTTTCGGGCTGGTCCGTGGATCTAGTTTGGGGAACCTGGTGCTGGTCGAGGCTCGCCGTGGCCAGAGAAGCCCCTTGTTTTCTCATTCAGCTTTCCATATGGCAGCACGATGTCTGCCAGGAGAGGAGAGGGGATGGATTCTTAGTCGCAGCGGTGGCGCACGCGCACTGCGTCCATAGCCCGAAGCGGGGGCGCTGCCAGGCGCACTGTAGTCGAGCAGGTGGGAGGCAGAAGAGGACGGCCGCGGAGAAGGAAGAAGAAGGGTGGAACACTCGGACCGAGGAGATGGAGCACGCTAAACCCGAGAACAGATTCGCATGAACGTAGAATCTCCGAGGTCCGCGCGGGCGTCCAGGGCCAGCGCCGGACCCCCCCCTTGCGCACGCAGGGGCGGCGCCGGAGCAGACAGCTCCGTGCGGCCCTCCGAGGGTTTGCGCTGATGCAGCCTGCTGCCCCCTCTGCGTTTGCCCGCGGCGGCGCGCGCGGGCGGCGCCGAGCCGCAGGGTGGCTGCAGAAGTTCCAGCGGCGCGTGCAGCGGAGCCCGTGGCAGGCCGCGCCCGCTCGCTCTCGTCGCCTCGGCTCTCGGGGTCCCACCATCCTCTTCTGCCCGTGCCCTTCTCTCGGAGGCTGGTGGGCCTCCTTCCCTGACATGTCGATTAGCGAATTGGTCGGTTGCGGTCGTAGGCCGTGTTTGCTAAAGGGTGGTTTACTAAAGGGAGGTTTGTCCACCGCCGATTCTCGATGATGCTGATGCTGATGCTGATGCTGATGCTGATGCTGATGCTGATGATGATGATGATGATGATGATGATGATGATGATGATGATGATGATGATGATGATGATGGTGATTGTGATGGTGATGGTGATGATGATGATGATGATGGTGATGGTGATGGTGATGGTGCTGATGCTGATGCTGATGCTGATGTTGATGCTGATGCTGATGCTGATGATGCTGCTGATGCTGGTGCTGATGCTGATGATGCTGATGTTGATGCTGATCACGCTGATGATGCTGATGCTGATGCTGATGCTGATGATGCTGATGCTGATGTTGATGTTGATGTTGTTGATGATGATGATGATGATGAAAATGATGATGGTGGGTATGACCATGATGATGGTTGTGGTGGTGATGATGATAAAGATGATGATGATGATGATGATGCTGATGATGATGATGGTGATGATGGTGATGATGGTGATGATGATGATAATGATGATGATGATGGTGGTGATGATGATGATGATTTTGATGATGATGATGATGATGATGATGATGATGATGATGATGATGATGATGACGATGATGATGATGATGATGAGGAGGAGGAGGAGGAGGAGGAGGAGGAGGAGGAGGAGGAGGTGGAGGAGGAGGAGGTGGAGGAGGAGGAGGAGGAGGAAGAGGAAGAGGAAGAGGAAGAGGAAGAGGAAGAGGAGGAGGAGGAGGAGGAGGAGGAGGAGGAGGAGGAGGAGGAGGAGGAGGAGGAGGAGGAGGAGGAGGGAGGAGAGGAGGAGGTGGAGGAGGAGGAGGAGGAGGAGGAGGAAGAGGAAGAGGAAGAGGAAGAGGAAGAGGAGGAGGAGGAGGAGGAGGAGGAGGAGGAGGAGGAGGATACTGGCGGCTTTCGCAGCCTGGCGGGCGGCCCCCCTCCCCGCCGCCTGCGCCCCTCGAACTCCCAGCGGCGCCCCCCCCCCCCTGCATGCCGCCGCGGGGCCCTCTGCCGCGCCCGCCGCCGCGGCGCGCGGCGGGTTGCCGCGCCGCGAGGCGCCGCCGGTCGGGGCGATCAAAGTGGGCGCAGAAACAGTGGACACAACGACCGATAGCAGCTCCCCTCTGGCTTTCTGATGTTCCGACCTACTTTAGCCTGAACCACCAGAAAGAATTTCAAACACCAAAGAAGTACCGAAACTCGAGGGTTTTGCACGTGTCGGGCCCGGGGAGACACTCGTCCGACACTTTCGACACTTTTGCGACACTTTTCCGGGTGCTCGACATTATTTCTGGGATGTGGTCTTGATGTGCAATGGGACCAACATAATTCTGGCTGAGGATGTCGTGGGAGGTGGGCTGGGGGGGGAGGGCAAGAGTGGCGTCACCCCAACATACTAATACTATGAAGTGTGCGTCCCTCCCCCCCAGGGGCGACGCTCGCACCGAGGAATCTTGTAGTATATGCGTCTTGGCGGGCGCTCTCTTGCCAAGCCGCTCGGGAAACGATCTACTACAGGATGGGCATAACCATATGCTCGGTGCGGACGCGCGCTTCCCAGGAGGACACTTCGTGTTAGTGTATGTCTCTGTGCGTCGCACCAAAGGTTGGGTGAGCGGGAGGGTGGCCCAAGGTTGGGTGTGGGAGCGGACCCAGCCTGAGCCTGGTACGTCCCGTGTGCAGGGACCGCCCAAATCACCTCCTTTCTGGCTTAGGACGCAGCTCCTGAGGGTTCGGTGCGATCGACATGGGCACGGAAAAAATTGGGACGAAGACCAACAGCAGTTTTCTTCCGGTTTAGGATGGCGTGGGAGGTGAGGAGTTCGTCCAAGGTTTGGTGAGGGAGCGGACGCAGCTCCTGAGGGGTCGGTGCGATCGACATGGGCACGAAAAGAATTGGGACGAAGACCAATAGCAGTTCCCTTCTGGCTGAGGATGGCGTGGAAGGTGGGGGCTTCGCCCAAGGCTGGGCGAGGGAGCGGACGCAGCTCCTGAGGAGAGCGGGTGCAACGACCGACAGCAGCTCCCGTTCCTTTTGGAACAGGGCTCGCTGTCGGTGTCGCCGCGGGCTGTGCCCGTTTGACCAAAGGCGGGCGCCCAAAACTGGGGCAAGCCGGCGGGGTGAGCGCCTCCTTGTGACTGATCTCCAGAATTTACGTATTAGGTTTAGCATTTGAGATCTTTACCTTGATCGTCCTACCGAGTTGCAGTGTGTGCTCGGTGTACTGTTACCCTCTGTGGCTCAAGCCCAAAAACGTTCATCCAATCCTGTGCTGCCACAGTTGGTAGCGGAGCGCGGAGTCGCTCGGGGTGCCATGGGCGCGAGCCAGGTCCACGTCCGACGGGCGTGACCGGCCGGCGTTCGCGTGCTCCCGAGCGGTCGCTGCGCTCGGCCGACTGCGACGCGTGGAGATCCACGGTGGACGCCATGACGGGCGTCGAGGATGAAAATACAGAGAAGGGGGCCAACCTACACGTGAGCGCGGGGACGGACGAGGCTGCAGTAACTAGGGGCGAGCTCAGAGGACTCATCGGGGACATCGTCAGGGCGGCGATGCAGGAGCAGTCCAGGAGCTCGAGTGCTGCAGCAGCGTCCAGCTCCGCGGCCGCTGGCAAGCCGGACGAGAAGAGCAAGCCGGACGAGAAGGGCGAGGATCCGTGGCAGAGCTCGGATCCGTGGACAGCCAGTGGCGGAGAGAGTTGGCAGAGTCGGTGGTGGCAGGCCGACTCGAGGACCAGCTGGGAGGATCGGCAGCCCGATCAGAAGGACAGCTGGCAGAAGGACTCAGGCTGGTCTCACGACGCCGCCTGGACCCGCGGGACCGGGTCCCGACCCGAGCTGGCCGGCTGGTCCGGCAGCTGGGCAGGAGGAGGCGGCGCCTGGTCCAAGGGAGACTACTCAGACCCACCGGCATGGCCAGGATGGGCACACTTCAGAGCATGGAAGAAGTCGCTCAGACGGTGGAATGCGAACACCGACGTGCCCGTCTGGCGTCGCTCCGAGAAGTTCCTTCGTCTGTTCGACTGGGCCTTCCAGGCTAAGTTCGAGGACATACAGGAGCATCGTCTGACCGACGACGGATGGATCGACATCGTGCTCGGCCGCATGGACACCATGGCGGGCGAGCGTGAGGGAGATGACCTTCGCCGCGCGGGTCGTCGAGCCTTCTTCGAGGCCAACCGCGAGGCGAAGGAGTCGCTGATCCAGTTCGTCATCCGCCGCGACGCTCAACTGCAAGAGGCGGAAGGACACGATCTATGGATGTCGCCCAAGCTGAAGGGCCTGCTCTTGGAGGAAGGCGCCTGCCTGTCCGCCCAGGGGCTCCAGAACTTGAGGACGCTCACCCTTGGGAAGCTGGACTACGAGAATGTCTCGTGGGCGCTCGAGCAGATGGACTCCGGCGGCACAGAGCGTCTGCTCCCAGGGCGCGGCGCCGGGGCGATGCTGGCTGACGCGACGGCTTCTGAGGGCCTAGGCGCTAGCGAGACGTCGCCTGGTGTTCAGTCCCCCCTCCTCTCTCCTCCTCCCCCGTGGTCGCAGGTTCGGTCAGAGGGTACTGGCGACTTCCCGGCAGAGGACGAGGAGACCTTCTACGATGATGACGACGAGGAGGAGGCCTCGGACGAGGAGGACATCGAGGCTCGGCTGGCCGAGCTCGACGATCTCGACGTGTCCGAGGATCAGGTGGACGAGGTGCTGGCGACGCTCGAGGCCAAGAATACCAGGACATGGAAGCAGAACAAGGAGCTGAAGCGTGCTGCTCGTCAGGACAGGGAGTACTTTCGGCCTGACTCCCGAGCGCCTCGGCCTCCTCGGGCACATCCGGCAGGTCGTCCAGGGCGCGGCGGGGGCCGTGGGGACGGCGCCGGCGGTCGAGGCTGACGCGGTCGTGGCGGTCGCGGGTTCGATCGGCGGCGTCTCACGAGGGAGCAGCTGATCAAGGTGACACGCTGCGGCATCTGCAAGCAGAAGGGCCACTGGCATCGGGAGTGCCCAGAGAAGGACGGACCTAAGGATCGCCGAGCTGTGAAGGATCACGGCCGAGGGGCATCCGCGTACATGTTCTCGGGCATCGTCGGCGAGGTCGGCGGCTCCGAGTTCGTGGCGACGGTGGAGGCGGGCGCGGGCAGCCTCCCAGCCTGGGAGCAGGCGCAGCTGGAGATCGAGTCGAGCGCGGTTCCCCTCACCACGTCCGCCACCCAGGGGCTCGTCGACCCAGGTGCCGGCAGCGACCTCGCGGGAGTCGGAGCACTCAACCGAGAGTCTCGAGCCCTGGCGGAGCTCGGGTTGAGGCGCGTCGAGATACCTCAGGCCGACCGCCCGCTCAAGGCGGCCCACGGCGTCGGTGGAGCCGCGCGCGTGATCAATGTTATTCTCTTTCCGCTGTGCTTAGGCCAGACTTTCGGCACCATAGAGACTACAGTGCTGGCGGACAATGTTCCGCATATTCTCAGCGTGAATCTTCTGGAGTTTCTCGAGGCCGTCATTGATCTGCCCAGGAACAGCATGCAGCTTGGGCGCCTAGGTCAGAAGGTGCCTCTTTGCCGTCTCAATTCAGGTCATCGCCTCGTGGAGATCGTGGGGCCTCTCGACCAGGAGGCAGTGGCACCAGCGGCCGCGATCAAGAGGTACCCTTTTCTGCGTGCTGACTCGTTTCAGACTGCTGCAGGACAGTTCCCAGAGATGTCGGACATTGGCGTGGTGACCGGCTACATTCCTATCCTCATCACCATCGTCTTGCTGCTCATGCTGCTGCTGCGGGTCACGAGGGAAAGCTCAAGGGCCAGGACCAGGACTCGGAGAACATCCAGGCCCAGGACTCAGAGCACCAGTTCGATCGTCCACTCCAGGAATCGGGTCGACGTCCAATCGGAGCACCAGGACGACCAATCGAGGGAGCTCCTCCAGTCGTGGGCTCAGCAGGGCCCGAGTCAGGTCTTAGGATCCGGTGGTCAAGCTAAGGTGCAGAGGCCGAGGAGGTCTTCGAGAGGAAGGGTTCTCGAGAGCCCAAGAAGATGGACTGAACTGACTGTCTCCGTGATAACAGTGGCAGCAGTTGTCTCTTCCGTAGTCCACCTCGGCTCAAGTCTAGCCTTGCTGGTGTTAGCTTTCTCAGTTCACGAATTTCTTGCGGTCCTGCAACAGCGCCTGTCCAGACTCGATGGTCCTCGGAGGGCTGCTCCTGGCGCGGTTGGCCGTGCATCCCGTGCTCGGAGGAAAGAAGAAAGGAGAATACGGGACGTCGAGCAAGGGAAACCAGGGAGCGTGAGACGCCACTCAGGCGTTTCTACGAGCACGCCAGTCTCGCCTCAACGGGGAGAGGGCTCCTGGAGAACCCGACTCGGACGGCTACGTTTGGGACGAGCCTTCGGCGGAGGAGATGGCCGCCGCGGCGGCCGAGAGCGACGCCCTGGAGGCGGCGGCGAGGCAGGCGCAGGCCCAGGCAGAGGTGGATCAGGCAGACCGCGGGCCACCCACCGGAGGCGCATCGTCCTCAGGGAGTGGTCAGGCAGCGGGCCATCCGACCCGGCCGGGCCAGCCAGGGCCTCAGCCGCCCTTGCCTCCAGAACCACCTCCGGGGTACACTGGCCCATATCCCATGGTGGTCGACCGATCGTTCAACTCCCAGGCGGCAGCGGCAGCGGCGGCAGCAGCCGTGCCTCCAGCAGTTCAGCGTTCAGCAGGCAGCGATCAACACTCCGGTGGCATCGACCCCGCCACCAGTGAAGCCTCCTCCTCCAGGAACGACGTACATGCGGGGCACTACGGCGCCGCCTCCCCTGACGGGGCCCGCGGCAAGCAAGCCACCGCCCAAGCCGCCACCTACGCAGCTGGCATCGACTCCCGAGCCGTCGATCCCAGCGAAGCCGCCTCCCGGGCCAGTCAACGAGTGCGAGCATCCAGAGTCGTGCATCCGATACTACGGGAACCAGCACGGGTCAGGCTCGAGGTGCACCCGGTGCCAGACACGGTTGGTGTGGATCCCCCGAGGCCAGGGGATGGCAGCGGGCCAAGACCCACCGCAGTCAGCTGCCGAGGCAGCGCGGTCAGCGGCGGCATCAGCCCGGCGCGCGGTCAACATCCTGCAGGAGAGCCCAGGTTTCCGAGAGGGCGGGGCCGCCCTAACTACGGTGAACTCCCTGGGCACGCTACTACAGAGCTTACAGTGGCAGCTGCAGGAGATACCAGAGGGGATCCGTGCCTTCGGCCGGGTTCAGGAAGTACTGGACCGCATGATTCAGGTGGCGACCGACTCACAGAGTGCGCCGACTCAGGTCCAGGAGGGCCTTATGCAGATTCACCAGGTCCTCATGGGAATCCAGGGCCACTTGGTGTCCCTCGAGGATTTCGGCGAGAAGCTCGACACGATGGAGTCCAGGATGCTCAACCTCGAGCAGAGCATGGGTCAGCTGGGATACATCATCATGCAGGTAGGTCAGGGTGTGGCCGGACTACTTCACGTACACGGAATTCAGCAACTACATGGTGGTCAGGCCCCGGCCGAACCTTGGGCGCCGGGCCCGCCAGGGCCCATCGAGCCCAGAGGAGAAGGAGACTCGTCAGGCAGTGGCGGACACGGGCCTCGCGAGGGCTCGAATTTCCAAGATGGTGGAGCACAGCCGTCTACCACGACGCCGCCGAGCAACAGCGGCGGACACGGCGAGGAGTACAACGCGACGCTCGCCTCGACGACGGCCGACCCGAACAACTGGTGGCCCCTGCCGCCGATCCCGGAGATCGCGACCGATCAGGAGCAGGAGTGGGAGCTGGTCAGCAACCAGGGGGAGCTCTACTGAGTTCTTCCACTCTGTCTCAGGCCAGCATTTTAGAGCTGTCATCGTGCTTTGTGCAGTGTGGTTGCGCGAGACCCCAGGCTGCCTGCACGACTTCTGGCGCCAAGAGCGCAGTGACTGAGACGCAGAGTTTTGCTCCTCCTCCCCCTCCTCACATCAGGTCCCCTCAGGCTCCTAGGACTCGGAGGCGTCCAGAGACCTTGGAACGAGGAGCCCAGTGGACCGACGGGGACCGTCACAACGACGACCACGAGGTTGCGTGTAGCAAGAGGGCCCGAGAGGCTCTCGAGCGTAGGGCCTGCGAACAGCTAGGCGAGACCCTTGCCACCGAGGGGCCTCTCGACCGAAGGCGTCGGGCCAAGACGGCGTTCATGGAAGTTTTCTCCCCGCCCCGCATGGCCCCCGAGGTGGCCAGACGTGGGGCCCCAGTGGCCTCGGATCCCAGCTGGGATCTCAAGACCGGGTGGGACGCGTCCAAGCAGTCAGAGGTTCGTCGCCTCTGGAGGCACATTAGGGAAGAGCAACCCGAGACCATGTGGCTGTGCTCGGAATGTCGAGTGTTCTCTGCGATCAATCGTTTAAATCGTCATCGGGTCGACCCGATCGCGTGGCAGAGATCGGTGACAGCCGGCCTACGCGATCTGACCCTGTGCATGGAGATAGCCCTCTTCCAACACAGTAAGGGGCGGTACTTCATCTTCGAGCATCCTCGATATGCCTCCTCTTGGGACACGCGTGCGGTGCAGCTCGTGCAAGGGCTCGAGGGAGTCAGACGGCTGCGCATTGACATGTGTGCGTTCGGCCTTCAAGTAGATAAGAGGGGGCCCAACAAGAAACCAACCGGCCTCCTCTCCAACCACCCCAGGGTGCTTCGGGACCTCGATGGTCACCTGTGCACTGGGGGGCACCAGCATGCGTTGCTCGAGGGAGGCCATGTCACTACCAAGGCCGGCAAGTATCCCCCAGCTTTAGTTAGGAAGGTCGCCCGAGCTGTGTCTGAGCAGTGGAGTGGGGGGAGCAACCGAGGGCCCTCCACCTGGGCGGAGCTGGCGGAAGACGTTTTCCCAGAGGATGATCTGGGCGATGCGGAGGTCGGATCGGAAGTAAGCGACGAAGAGGGACTCGACGAGCCAGAGACCAGACCAGCCCCACGTGAGAGGAAGGCCATCCCCGAGCCAGAGCCCTCCGAGGAGGAGAAACGTCTGGTTTTCAAGCTTCACGTAAACATGGGACATCCGGAGAATCGGAAGTTCCTGCGAGTCCTCAGAGCGGGCGGAGTCAAGAGACACGTCCTCACTTGGGTGCGTGACCTTTTCAGATGCTCAGAGTGTGCCGAGAGGTCGAGAAGCGGCACTAATCGCCGGGTTGCTCTCCCTAGGACTTTCCGTTTTAACCACATCGTGGGAGTGGATCTTTTCTGGGTTGATTTTCAGGGAGGCACTCACGGTTTTCTGAACATGGTCGATCACGGTTCCAACCTCCAAGTGTGCGCCAGGGTGGCCGACGCTCGTGCGGCAACCGTGTGGCGAGCCTTTGTCTTGGCCTGGATTCGACCGTTCGGGGCCCCACACTATCTTATCTCGGACGGGGGCTCGGAGTTTACTGGGAGGCTTGCGAGAGGAACCGAGCAGTGGGGTGTCTATCACCACGTCTGCGATGCCGACTCACCGTGGCAAAACGGCCGCGTCGAGCGTCACGGGGGCTGGGTTAAGGACCGGCTTAAGGCCGAGATCGAGTCGGGTTCGGCTCTCCCCGCCACGCTGGACGAGCTCGACGAGCTGGTGTCGGAACTGGTTGCCCACAAAAACAGATTCTGGCATCGTGGAAGGTTCTCGCCCCTCCAGCTGGTTTTCGGAGAGAACCCTAGGCTTCCCCACGACCTGCTGTCCGACGACAGCAGGGGGCTCCCAGGATGGCAAGATGTGGTGCGCTCACCCATGGAGCAGGACGAGGCAGGTGCCGAGTTTGCTAGATCCCAGAAGATTCGAGACGCTGCACGTCGCCTTGCTATCGAAGTGACCTCTCGAGACCAGGTGAGTCGAGCCTCCCGGGCCAGGACCGCGACGACCAGGACCTGGCACATGTCTCGTACCTCCTCTCGAGCCGATTCCCTAGGACGACGCCGGGACGGCTGGGCTGGTCTGGGTGTCGTGGTCCTCCACGAAGCCGGGACTGTCTGGGTTGCCGTCCGAGCGCGCCTTTGGAAGTGCTCACCGGAGCAGATACGCCTGGCGAGTTCGGACGAGGAGTACGGACTGCAGCTTTCCCAGGATCCCAGGTGGCAGGAGTTGCTGCAGCAGGCCAGGACTCGTCGCGCCTCGGCCGCGGATGTCCAACGAGAGGGGGCCCCGCCAGAGGACGCCTGGGACCGACCTCTGGGCCAAGAAGAAGATTCGGCCCCTCGTGTTGCGGGCCCTCCGGGCCCCGAGCCGGGTGGGCCAGAGGCCCCTGTCCGTCGTGAGGGTCCCTCGGTCCCAGGTCCTCCGTCGGGCGCGATTCGGGCGGCCGTCTCCAGGGGATCTCGGGCCGGATCCGAGTTGGGGCGGGAGTCTCAAGCAGGTTCGGACATCACAGGCCGGCAGCATCCGCACCAGGCTTCCATCGATTGCCGAGAGCGAGCCATCGACAGGAGATTTGTCCAGAGAAGTGACGCCAGGGAGAGAGGAGGGGAACCCTGGTTCCCCTACTGATGCTCCTGTTCCTTCGCCTTCCCCTCCTCCGCCTGTCGCTCCACCTCTCACTGTCTCCCCTCTTTCACCTCCTCCTGAGCCTCCTCAGGCCGCGGCGGGCTCAGCGCCTCGGCCCCGAAGGGTGCTGCCTCAGCCGGAGGACACGCCTTGGTGCATCCGCGCCCGGGCCGAGGCAGCCCGAGCCTCTAGCTCACCGCCAGAGTTCAAGCGGGCGAAGCTGGAGTCAGCCGACCCGTCGTCGTCGTCTCCGTCCGCCCCTCAGGTCTCCAGTGGTAGTGGTGGTCTTCATCTCTCTCCTCCCCCGGGTCTCCCCGCTCCGTCTCCATCCCCAGGGCTGGGGTCCGGGACCAGGATCACCGCCGGCTCCGAGCCGCGCGTGTCAGTGGCTGACAGGGTCCAAGAGATCGAGGCCGGACGGGTTCGTGCCCGGTCACGCTCTCCCACGAGAGGCGAGAGTCTTTCCGAAGGAGTGTTTTGGGTGGTTCCCGGGGGCGACGGCGTTGCCACCGTCCCGGCTGAGCAGCAGGAGCCGACGAGAGCCGAGGCACCAGACGGCGGCACTTTCGCCGCCAGCCGAGGCGGCGAGGTATCGCTGAGAAATCTATCCCCCGCCGATCGGGCCAAGTTCGATGCGTCCGATGCTAAGGAGAGTGGGAGGCCATGAAGGCGACAGGTGCGGTAGAGGTGGTGGCTCCAAGCAAGGCACGAGTCATCCGTCGTGAGCAGCCAGACCGCATCATCTCGAGCCGGATGGTCCGCCGCTGCAAGCCCCAAGTGGGCACCTTCGCCGCCCCCGACGCTAAGTCGAGGTGGTGCGTCCATGGGCATAAGGACCCTGACTCAGGAGCCCTCGAGGTTTATGCTCCCACTCCTCAGACATCGTCTATTATGATGTTTATCCAGATAGCCATGAACCTGGGTCTTCTATGTGATATCGCCGACGTCAAGAATGCTTTCTGTCAGTCGGACAGAATGCATCGAGCACAGGGCGAGATCTACGTAGAGCCCTGCGAGGGGATCGTGCTGGAACCCGGGTCCCTGATTAGACTTTTGGTCAATGCTTATGGTTTGGACGATGCCCCTATGGCCTGGAGGCGTACTGTCGTCAAGTATTTGGAGGCCCATGGGTTTGTGAGGTCCCTGCTGGAGCCCTGCTGGTGGATGCGCTACGATGACAAGGGGCGCATCGCCAACATGATGCTGCTGGAAGTAGATGACCTCTTCATCGGAAGCTCAGACCAGGTCTCCAGGGACTGGCTTAGGGGGGTCCTGGAGTCCAGGTTCAAATTCGGGAAGTATCGGGATTGCCAGGCCGGCGCGGTGGATTTTGCTGGCCGAAGGATCACCGTCGCCCCAGACAAGGCAGTGATCGACATGGAGAAGTACATTTTAGAAGAGATCCGCCCTCTGTCCATGTCCAAGGGGCGCCTGGCTCGCAAGGATTCCCCCCTGGAGCCTCATGAGTTCAAGGCACTGCGGTCGCTCGTGTACAAGTTCAATTGGTTGGGCCGTGAGGTCCGACCCGAAGCCGCAGGTGTAGCCAGCATCCTGGCCAGCAAGCTGAACCAGGCCAGGACCGGGGATGTGATCACCGCCAACAAGTTGGCTCGCCATTTACGTTCTACGGCTTCCAGGGGACTCACTGTGTGGCGACTCGATCCAGACAGGATGGCCTTTTTGTCTTTCTCGGACGCCGGTGGCATTGGTTCCACCGACGGCCTGGATGACGAGCGCGGGCTGCCGGTCGACCCCACACAGGGGGCCTGGATGGTCCTGGCGGCCGATCGATCTGTGCTGGACAACCGGGCAGTCCGGGCTTCGATTCTGGGCTGGAGGTCGTCCAAGCTAATACGAAAAGTGCCATCCACTCTGGCTGGAGAGACGCAGGCCCTATCCGCAGCAGTTGCAGAGGTAGAGTTTCTACAGATTATGTATCGAGATGTGGTTTTCCACGACGTGGGTACTCCCGATTGTCGCCGAGCCTCCGGACCTTTTACAACCGTGCTGCGACGAGACTGCTCTCTCGGATCTCGTGAGAGGCAGGTGCATGTGGTCGACGCCAAGTCGATCTATGATACAATGCAGTAGGAGGGCAATGCGCGCGCGCGGGACAGGCGCACGGCCATTGACCTTGCCATTATCTGTGAGTCTCTGGAGCGTGCGCGTGGCCATGTCCGTTGGATCCCGCACGGGCGGATGCCAGTGAACGCTCTCACCAAGGAGGACGTCACGAAGTGCAATGCCGCTTTGTTCGATTTAATGTCCCATGGTCGCCTGATTTTGGTCGACGAGAGCTCAGAGGTGGCGAGACGCCGCTCCGAGCCGCAGCTCAAGAGTCGATCACAAGCAGCTTCGAGAGAGGAACTTGCCCGAGAGTCACAGCCTATATGGATCCAGTTCCTGTCGGGAAGTTCTGCTGGTGGTGGTAGTGGTGGTGGTGTCGGTTCTCCTCCCCCCTCCTCCCTTTCCTCAGCTGAATCATCTACGTGCAGCTTGCCCTTGCCATCTCCGCTCTTTCAGTGATAATTTTCTCGTGTGCAGTTTCTGCTATTTGCTATCCCCTCTCCGTTCAAGTAGAGAAGGGGGCCGTTCCAGCACAGGAACGGATAGTTGCTTTTAGTTGAGCCCAAGAGGGTGCTAAACCTAGGAGAAGTCAGACGGGTGTGACTGATCTCCAGAATTTACGTATTAGGTTTAGCATTTGAGATCTTTACCTTGATCGTCCTACCGAGTTGCAGTGTGTGCTCGGTGTACTGTTACCCTCTGTGGCTCAAGCCCAAGAACGTTCATCCAATCCTGTGCTGCCACATCCTGCCCGCGTGCGATCGGACTTGGTGCGGACAGCACGGGGAGGAAGGGCGAGAGCAGTTCTCGAATCGGCAGTGGGTCGAAACGGGTCCTCGAATCGGCACGATCTGGAGCCGGAGGTTTCCCACCGCGACGTCGCCGACACATCGCGGGTGTGCGGGGGCCAGCTGGTGGTGCACGAGATCGACTGGTCGTCAGAGTGACCTCTCGCCGGAGTGACGTTTCGGTGCGGGCCCGGTGTGGTCCCCCGGTCGCCGAGCGCGATGCGATCGTGGCGTTTTGCGCCCTCGTGTGTTGGGCCCCGCGTGGCCCCCAAAAAGCCGCGCACCAAAGATCATTCGTACCTCATGATGTTCCAACCTACTTTAGCCTGAACGACCAGAAATAATTTCGAGCACCAAGCAAGTACCCAAACTCGAGGGTTTTCACGTGTCGGGCCCTGGGAGAAATTTGTTTGACACTGTTTCGGCACTGTTTCGCCACTCGTTCGACACTTTTCCGGGTGCCCGAAATTATTTTTGGGATGTGCTCTTTAGGTACGATGGGAGCAACGTAATTCTTACCCGGGGTCTCTCCTGCGTGTGCCCGGCGACAGTCTCCCTGCCCTTGCCAAGGGGGCGGTGCACAGACGCCCGAGGCCCCAACAGGCGGCGCGTGTGCAGGAGAGGGCCTCGCCTGCGGCGCGTCTCCCCCTCTCGGCGGGCGCCTGCGGGAGCAGAAAAGGCTCGGCAGGATCAGTAGCAGGTCGGGCACGTCTCTCCCGAATTACAGAAAGAGCTGATTCAAGAACGGTTGAAGCAACATAGTCAGGTGACGATTGCTGTGCCTTGTTGGCTCTGTTTGATGTTTGTCTGGCTATGTTTGTTGTTCTTCCCAGATCCGCCTGCATGAGGACGTGCCCGACGTAGGATCCGAGTGGGCACTCGCACGGAAAGAGTGTGGACGAAAACCCACAGCAAGTCTTGCCCATTCTGCACAGGACTCGCCGTCGGTGCCGCCGCGGGCGTCATTCTCCTTGAGGCAAGAGTCGCCTGCTCCATTCTCGGCCGCCGCCGCTCTTGGAAAACGCTTGTTGGGCGTGCGTGCCTGTCGAAGAAAATCATAACAAGACACACGAACCTCCGTGTCCGAAGGTCCGCGCGATTCCTTGGATCGGAGGTCTGCGCAGCTCTCTTGGACCGGCGCTGGGCACGCCCCCGCCGGCGCCCTGGCGCAAGCAGCGCGCCAGGGGGGCGGCGGGGGGCTCAGCGCCGATCACAGACGTCTGCGCGGGCCTCCGACAGTTTTTGTGTGCACGCCTCGGGAGGATGAGGAGGAGGAGGAGGAGGAGGAGGAGGAGGAGGGGGAGGAGGAGGAGGGGGAGGAGGAGGATGGGGAGGAGGAGGAGGAGGAGGAAGAGGAGGAGGAGGAGGACGAGGAGGAGGGAGGAGGGAGAGGGGAGGAGGGAGGAGGGCGGAGGAAGAGGCGGCGCAGGAGGAGGACGTGTACGCCTCGACTGGCTATTCCTAGAGCTCCCAGAGAGAGGGTCGGAGCAGGTCGGACCCGAGGGTCGCGCCACAGCGCCGGCCGATGCATCGCCGGTGCGGCGCGATCCTCTGAGCTTAAGTCGGGCACTTCCCGCTACAGGAGGAGTACTCCAAAATAGCCCACCAAAAAGTCAGGGGATGATTTTCAAGTATTTGTTCATTTTTTTCAGTAGTTCTTGAGTATTGTTAGTTTTTCGTCCAAAGTCCCCCTGTAGGGGGACACGCCCGACTTGCTTGTAGTTAGTTCCGCTGCTCCCCAGGAAGCAGCCTGAGCCTCTCTTGGCACTGTTCAGAAAGTTCGGGGCGTCGGCCCTTCTACAGCAGCTCATACGTTCACACACGCACACATCCATGCAAATAAATCCGAAAGATGCTTTGTGGGTTTGCGTGGGCACCCGGTCCCCAGAGCCCTCAGAGAACCCCGAAACGACTCCGGAGGGCCCCCGGAAGGGCCCGAAACGGCACCGGAGCTCCCGAGAAGAGCCCCGAGACGGCCCATAGAGACCCCGAGACGACCCAAGACGGCTTTCAGGCGGTCCAAGATGCTCTCCAGACGACCCCATGAGCCCCAAAGACGCTCCCGGACGGCTCCAGGCGGGTCCAGGGGGTCCCCCGAAAGGGCTCCATCAAGGAAAAATCGTCACAGTCCCTTCAGAAAATTGACATTTTCAGCAGATTCGGCTTATTGCTTTTCGAAGCGTCCAAAACGGCCCCAGAGGCTTCCAAGCTCGCCCAAGACGACCCCCAAGAGGGCCCAAAGATGGCTCCAGACGGGCCCAGGACGGCCCAAGAGGCGCCCCAGACGACCCAAGAGGACCCCACGAGAGGCCCAAGAGGGGCCCAGGACAGCCCCGAGACAGCCTATGGAGGCCCCGAGACGACCTCGGGTGGCCCAAGATGCTCTCCAGACGGCCCCATGAGCCCCAAAGACGCCCCAGGACGGTTCCAGGCGGGTCCAAGGGGTCCCCCGAAAGGGTTCCTTCAAGCTAAAGTCGAGAAATTGACATTTTCAGCAGATTCGGCTTATTGCTTTTCGAAGCGTCCAAAACGGCCCCAGAGGCTTCCAAGCTCGCCCAAGACGGCCCCCAAGAGTGCCCAAAGATGGCTCCAGACGGGCCCAGGACGGCCCAAGAGGCGCCCAAGACGACCCAAGAGGACCCCACGAGAGGCCCAAGAGGGGCTCAGGACAGCCCACGACGGCCCCAAGACGGCCCGATAGGCACCCAAGATGGCCCAAGACTGCCCCAAGACGGCCCACGAGGCGCCCTGCCGGGCCAAGAGGGCTCCGAGAAGCCACCGAAGAGCCCAAAACAGCCCCTATCGAGCTCCCAAACGGCTCCCTAGAAGCTTCATTATTGCTTCCAACAGAGGGAGGCGGACGAGAGGCGAGAGGCCCCTCGCAGGCGCAAATAAACAATGTTTTGACGCTCCGGTGGCCCTGGGGCTGCCCCGCTGCGCTCCCTACTTTGCCGCGACGCCGTTCCGACGCCTCCGACGCGGCCCGAGACGGCGCCGCGTTTGCCCGAACCCGCTCCCGCGTCCGCCGCGATCCCGGCGCGAATCTTCCAACGTTGCTCAGGCCTGGACTCCTGAATTTCTGCCTCTTGCGAAGCTCGAACACTTCGGCCCCCGTTTCGATGCATTGGGCGCCTTCAGTGGGGGAACAGCACTAGAACAAGTTTCAAGGGATCTACGGCAGTAGCTGGCAGCGTCGCACCACCCAGCGCGCGCCACCATGCTTCGATCCGCCCATCTTCGTGGATTTAATCCACGGGTACACACTAGTGTATACATATATATATATATATATACATATATATATATATATATATACCTCTGTCCTCCCCTCCTGGTTCCCGTCCCCACCCCACCAGTCGGCGGCATTACTCTCATTTTTGCTCTCGATTGTCGCTCCTCAGCCCCCTCGCTGCTCGGTATGGACATCCCGCATCTCCCTCCACGAGGGGGGGTCGCGGGGGGAGCGATGTAACAATCTCCTCATTGTTCCTCCCTCTCCCTCTCGTGGCCCCTCCCGCCCAACCCGCCCACCTCTGCCTCCGCCCGTTCGTTTGTTTCAAGGCCCACCCGCTGTAATGCCCTTCCCCCCCCCCGCCCCGCCTGCGCGAGTCCGCCCGTCCGACCCGCCCGTTGAGGTCCGCGCCTCCGCGCCTCTGCCGGCCACGCCTCCCCTCTTCCCTGCAGAAGCCTGGCGTCGCTCGGACGTGTGCATCTGTTTTCTCGGCGAGAGCCATCGGGGACCATCCTGGACCATCGGGCAAAAACACGCGCACGAAACCGAAGAACGCACGGGAAATGGACGTGCGAGGTGCGAGCGACGGCAAGGAAGTATACTGCCCCCCTCTCTCCGCTGTCCGCGTGCGGGAGGTATCCCGCCCCCTCCCAGTGTTGGTTTGAATACAGATGTTCAGATGGTGTTGTGGATTCTTTGTTGTTGTTCTACACTCCGACTGTCCTCGAAATTTCAAGGTGTTCCCGCTGCGCGTGGACCTCATTTTCGGATCGGCGTGTTGAACCCCGCCGTTCAGGATGGCGCTCTCGCCCCAGCGCGGGACATTTTTCTGGATCCGAGTTCTGTTTCTTCCTTGTCGCCCCCCCTCCGTTCCCCTCCTCCGCCTTCACTTGGTCCTGCTCCTCCCAATAGTTCCATTCCAGTTCATGCTACTGCTGTTGGTCTTCGTCCTCCTCCTCCCTCCTCCTCCTGCTCCTCCTCCTCCCCCTTCTCCTCCTCCTCCTCCTCCTCCTTCTCATCCTGCTCATCCTCCTGCTCACCCGTCTCCTCCTCCTCCTCCTCCTCCTCCTCCTCCTCCTCCTCCCTCGTACGCAGCTTTCTGCTTCCAATTGCGTAGAACATGCTGGGGTGTGTGTGTGCTTTAGGATTCCGAGCCGGGCTATGACATGCGTCCACGGACGGAGCACAAATCAATGGGATGGGGCTGGGAGGCAGGGGTCTCAGTCCAGACGGGGCGCGAGCGCACCAAGCTTGCCCCCCCCCCTCTCACTCCTCCCTCCCCCCATCCCTCCCGTCCTTCCTCATACCCCCCCTTTCTTCCTGCCTCCCCCCCTCTTCCCCCTCCTCCCCCCTCTTCCCCACCTCCCCTCGTCCCCCTCCTCGCGCGTGGCGTGCGCCTTGTGGCCCCCCCGGTCTCGGACCTGCGGCGCCTGGCGGCGGCGGCTCTCTCTCTCTCTGGGGCTCGGCGTCCACCATGAGGCCCGGTTCGGGCTGAGCATCCCGCTAGGATCGGGGGCGGAAAAGAGGGGGGTGTTGACTAGGGGGGGGTGGATATCATGGCGTGGGCCATGATATTTCCCCAGATTTCATGACGCCTTTTCTTATTACATTACGTCCCTGCCCGCTGGGCCGCGCACATGCCGCCGGTCATGATTTGCACCCCCCCCTCTTGGACCCCCCCCTCTTGGCCGTTCCCGATGAGCCAGCCAGCAGGGGTGTCGAGAGAGAGAGAGAGAGAGAGAGAACTCCCGGGGGGGGGGAGGGATCGGAGGGGGCCGTCGCCAGCCACCCCCCCCAACCCGAGGCGCCGCTCCCTTGGCCGCCCCCTCGGGCTGTCGTCCTGCCTGGGCCTCGCTGCGCGCGCCGCCGCCGCCGCCGCGGGCCCGGGCGGCCTCTCGTGCAGGCCGCGGGGAGGGGGCGGGGAGGTTCGGGGGAGGAGGAGCAGGAGGAGGAGGAGGAGAGCCTTCAGGGCTCCAGGAGGGTTCGAGGAGGTGGAGGAGAGACTCGAGGGTTCGAGGAGCGTCGGAGGAGGAGGAGGAGGCCGAGGACGAGGACGAGGAGGACGAGGAGGACGAGGAGGAAGAACGCCTTTCGGGCTCGAGGCGGGTGTTCGAGGTTTAGGAGGAGGAGCAGGAACAGGAGGAGGAGGAGGAGGAGGAGGAGGAGGAGGAGGAGAGCCTCGAGGGTTCACAGAGGGCCCCAGGAGGATCCAGGAGAGTTGAGGAGAGTCGAGGAGGTCCGGCCATCATGAGAAGGAGGACCAGGGGCGGTGTGGATATCATGGCCAGGGCAATGAAGCGTCCCAGATTCCATCGTGGCCCCCCCTCTGCGGCGCAATCAGGGAGGTGTGGGTTGGGGAGGCTCGAGGAGGCGGCAGGAGGAGAACCGTGAATGTTCGAGGATGATCGGGGAGGTTCGAGGAGGAACAGGAGGAGGAGGAGGAGGAGGAGGAGGAGGAGGAGGAGGAGGAGGAGGGGGAGGGGAAGGAGGAGGAGAGGGAGGACCTCTCTTGCAGGCGGGGAGGATCCCCAGAGGCTTGACGACCCTTTCCCAATCGCCTTGCGGTGAGACATCCAGACATGTCGATATAAGTCGATGTTGTTGGATGCACGCCTGGGTAAATCGCGAGAAGTCAGGAAGAGGACGAGGTGCGGAAAGGAGGATCACAGGGACCGTTCTTGCGCGCAGACTCCTCGTCCTCCTCCTCCTCCTCCTCCTCCTCCTCCTCTTCCTCCTCCTCCTCCTCCTCCTCCTCCTCCTCCTCCTCCTCTTCATCCCCGCGCAGGATGTTTCTGCATATTTTGGGGGCCTCCCAGAGGTTTCCGTGCCCCGGCGCGTATTTCCCGTGTGTTGCGCATCGTGGAAGGCCATCCTTGGGGGGGGGCGTTGGCTCGTGCCCAGCCGCATTTCGAAGGCCGAAAGGCAACGCTCCTTTCCGATGCGGGGGGGGGTATCCGCAACAACCGCTTGGGGATGTCGACTTCCTGTGGGCCTAAGCAGGGGGGGATAAGAACATTTTCGGGCCTTACAGTCGGGGCCCTGAAGAAGGAACCCTTTTTGTTGGGGAGGGGCTCGGTGCTCCTTGATAGTTCTGCAGTTTGCCTTCTTTTTTCCTGAGGCTTTCCATGGGAAATCGAAGCTCAACTTGTGGGAGGAAGGGGCCCCGTTCCCTGTTTAGGGTTCCTTAGGTCAACGCCCCGACTGTACAAGGAGGGTGAACATCGATCTGGAGTCGGCCACGGATCGCCGATCCCGGGTCTGTGCTCCCCCTTGCGCCGATCCTCCCTCGGGACGGCATCCTGGAGCAGAGCGTCGTGAACACATCGGCGCTGTGTTTCCAACTCGCCGGATGTTGTATTTCGGGGGTGGACAGACCTCCTAACGGTGACACGTCGATTAGTGAGTTGTCCGTTTTCGTTTCTCGAGAGGGCGCCGCGGCCGTTATTTTCCAGGCTTGCGCCCGCCAGGTTTGGGCCCGAGGTCGTTTTCACTAAACCACGTTTTACTAAAGGGAGGTCTGTCCATCCCCGAGTATTTTTTTGTTCCCTCCTGCCCAGCAGGGGTTACCGCTACGGCGGCATCGACTGGGACGATGTGCGCTCCAAGCTGGAGGCAAGCCTGGGGCCAAGTGAAGCCGGCAGTCGCGGCGTCGGAACAGGGAGTACTTTTGCTTGGCAGGGAAGGGCTCGGGGCCCCGTAGGTCTTGTCTTGGGTGTTTCGTGGGGAGGCGTTCGCAAATCCAGCCGCAATGGGAGCCAAACAAAGACTTTTCGCTCCCTGTTGGAGGCTCATTTCAGCAAAGCATTGACTGCGATGCAAATACCCTGTTGCTTTCGCAAGGGCTACCAATGGTCAGGGGGCAAGTGGGCCAGGGCGGCTCCGAAGCTTCGAATATCGCCCCGTGGGCGCATAGACACCCTAACCCCCCCCCAGAGAGCTCTGCAAATGAACCCGTGTCTTCTGCCAGGAATTGTTTGTCCACGCCGCTTTAATGGGACCGGTGTAGATGGGGTGTGGGGATCGTGCAGCTCTGGCGATGCGGCACGATCGCGTGTTTCCCAACCCTCCGTTGTTGGGTTCTCGTTTTGAACAGAGCACTGTGGTCTCCACCTTCTCCTCCTCCCGCATCCCTCCTTGGCTCTCCCACTCTCTCTCGCTCTCTCTCTCTTTCATTCTTGGCTCATCTCGTACTTGCCGCTGACCTCGCCATCCATATGGAGCTGCGATCTGCGAAACTGTCGGCACGTTCGAGAGCTGCTGGGGGAGCCAGAAAGTGGGGCCCTCTTTGGAATAATATTAGACCCCGCCATCCCTGCGGGGCGCTGCGATCTGCGGAAGTGTTTGCACTTTCGAGGGCTGCTGGGGGGGCCAGCACAGTGGGCCCTATTCGGAATCATATTAGACCTCGCCATCCTTGGGGGGCTGCGATCTGCGAAACTGTCGGCACGTTCGAGGGCTGCTGGGGGAGGGCAGCACAGTGGGGCCCCATTCGGACTCAGATTAGACTTCGCCATCTGCAAACATGTCGGCACTTTCGAGGGCTGCTAGGGGCGGCAGCACAGTGTGGCCCCATTCAGATTCAGAGTAGACCTCGCCATCCCTGGGGGGCTGCGATCTGCGAAACTGTAGGCAGTTTCGAGGGCAGCTGAGGGGTCCAGCACACTGGGCCCCATTCGGATTCAGATTAGGCCTCGCCATCCCTGGGGGGCTGCGATCTGCGAAATCGTCGGCACGTTCGAGGGCTGTTGGGGGAGCCAGCACAGTGGGGCCCCATTCGGATTCGGATTGGAACTCGCTCGCCATCCCTGGGGGGCTGCGATCTGCGAAACTGTCGGCACGTTCGAGGGCTGCTGGGGGGGGGGCAGCACAGCGGGGCGCCGATCGGATTCAGAGTAGACCTCGCCATCCCTAGGGAGCGATCTGCGAAACTATTCGCGCTTTCGAGGGCTGCTGGGGGCGGCCAGCACAGTGGTGCCCCATTTGGATTCGGATTGGACCTCGCCATCCCTGGTGGGCCGCGATCTGCGAATCTGTGGGCACGTTCGAGGGCTGCCGGGGGGGCCAGCATAGTGGGGCCCCATCCGGATTCAGAGTAGACCTCGCCATATCTGGGGGGCTGCGATCTGCGGAACTGTGGGCAGTTTCAAGGGCTGCTGGGGGGGCCAGCACAGTGGTGCCCCACCCGGATTCAGATCAGACTCGCCATCCTTGCGTGGGGTGCTGCGATCTGCAAACTTGTCCGAACTTTCGAGGGCTGCTTGGGGGGGGAGGCAGCTTAGTGCGGTGCCGCGCAGATCAGAGCGGGACCTCGCCATTTTTGGGGGTCTGGGAGCTTCAAACGTGTCGCCACGTTCGAGGGCTGCTAGGGCAGCTTGGTGCGGTGTTACGCAGATCAAAGAGGGACCTCACCATCTCGGGAGGGGGGGGGGGTGGGCGAACTGCGAACTTGTCGCCACGTTCAAGGGTGGGGGCTCCAGCGGAGGGACGGCGTCTCCGCCATCCCTGGGGGGCTGCGATTTGCGAAACTGGCGCCACGTTCGATGGCTGCTTGGGCAGCTTGGTGCGGTGCTACGCAGATCAGACCGGGACCTCATCATCTCTGTTTTGGAGAGGGAGAACTGCGAATTTGTCGCCACGTTTGAGGGCTGCTGGGGGCTCCAGCGGAGTGACGCCTTAAGCAGATCCATTTTTGACGTCGCCATCCCTGGGGGGGAAGGGCTGCGACGATCCGCGAAACTGTCGCCACGTTCGGGAGCTGCTGGGGGGCCCAACATAGTGGGGG